CTCCCCCCCCCCCTCCTCCAGGGGGCAAGATTGTTCCTCCGCCTCCGCCGCCGCCGGGAGTTATGGCCCTTCCCCCACCTCCGCCGCCAGGAGGCAAGATTCTTCCCCCTCCACCTCCACCAGGGGGCTTCGCTCTTCCACCGCCGCCTCCCCCGGGTGGAAAAGTTGGTCTGCCTCCTCCCCCACCGCCTGGTGGAATGGCTCTCCCACCGCCGCCTCCGCCAGGTGGTGCCAAGGGTGTACCTGGATTGCCGCCTCCACCGCCCCCCGGTGGGAGAGTTGGATTGCCTCCGCCGCCGCCTCCAGGTGGTGGTGGAATCGCTCCTCCACCTCCTCCCCCCATTCTTGGAGCCAAGGGCCTTATGATCCCCCCGCCTCCACCTCCCAACGCCGCCTTAGGTTCGGGCTGGAGGCCGGCATACATGGTTGGAGATGTTTCGCCGTCTACAATCCACATGCCATCCATTCGACCTAAGAAGAAGCTCAAGGCTCTGCATTGGGACAAGGTCGACACTCCTCAAGTGACTGTTTGGGCTAGTCACGCACCGACTGCTGAGCAGAAGGAAGAGAAATATACCGATCTTGCGAAGAAGGGTGTATTGGACGAGGTTGAGCGATTGTTTATGGCCAAAGAAACGAAGATATTTGGAGCCAGCACTGGTGCGAAGCAGCGCACGGCCAAGAAACAGATTATCTCGAACGATCTGTCGAAGAACTTCCAGATTGCTCTGTCCAAGTTCTCTCAATACCCGGCCGAGGAGGTGACTCGCATGATCATCCATTGTGACAAGGATATTCTGGATAGTTCTGTCGTTATGGATTTCTTGCAAAGAGACGAAATGTGCAGTATACCGGAGAACGTCGCCAAGCTTATGGCACCATATAGTATGGATTGGACGGGTCCTGGGGCCGCTACTTCTGATCGTGAACAGGATCCCTCCGAGATCACTCGCGAGGATCAGATTTATCTCTACACTGCGTTTGAGCTGAATCACTACTGGAAAGCAAGAAACAGAGCACTTGCACTGACCCGCACCTACGAACCAGAGTACGAGCACATCTCCACAAGACTAAAAGAAGTTGCACGAGTCAGCGAGTCCTTGCGGGACTCCGTGTCATTGATGAACGTACTCGGTCTGATTCTCGACATTGGAAACTTTATGAACGACGCGAACAAGCAGGCCCAGGGTTTCAAGCTGAGCTCCCTCGCCCGGCTGGGTATGGTGAAGGATGACAAGAATGAGACTACATTTGCCGATCTGGTCGAGCGTATTGTGCGCAACCAGTACCCAGAATGGGAGGGCTTCCTCGAGGAGATCAGCGGTGTCATTGGCCTGCAAAAGGTTAATGTCGATCAGCTCCGCACTGACGCTATTAAGTACATTGGGAACATTAAGAACGTACAGTCAAGTTTGGACGCTGGTAACCTGAGTGACCCCAAGAGGTTCCACCCCCAGGATCGTGTCAGCCAAGTCGTCCAGCGATCCATGAAGGATGCTAGACGGAAGGCCGAGCAGCTGCAGCTCTACCTGGATGAGATGGTGAAGGCGTATGACGATATCATGGTCTTCTACGGTGAAGACAACGCAGACGAGAATGCTAGACGAGACTTCTTTGCTAAGTTGAGCGCATTCTTGATCGAGTGGAAGAAATCCCGAGAGAAGAACACATCTCTGGAAGAATCTAGAAAACGCACAGAAGCATCCCTCGCCCGCAAGCGAATCAATGTCAACCTCGCCAACAACACTCCGACCGCAGAGGCAGCGCAGTCGCCTGCTTCAAGTGGTGCCATGGACTCGTTACTTGAGAAGTTGCGTGCTGCAGCACCTCAAGCCAAGGATCAACGAGACCGCCGCCGTCGTGCTCGCCTAAAGGAGCGGCATAACGTCCGTGTCACTTCGGGCTCCAAGCCACCACCTGACTCGGGTGAGGCGGAAGAAGGCGCAGACGGAGCCGAAAAGATAGCCAATGGCGAAAACAATGACGAGAATGGTCTTCTCAGCCCTCCAGCCACCGCAGACGAAGATGGCAAGCAGGAAGCTCAAGTGTCTGAAGGCGAAGACGTTGCCGATCGTGCCGCTAGCATGCTTCTTGGCCTCAGAAGTAATTCCGATGCAGGCGGTGGTGAGCGCCAGAGACGGAGAAGAGAGAGCGCGGATGAAGAGCGTCGCAATCGCCGCATGAGACGCCGCAATCCCGCGACAAGCGGGAGCAAAGATAGCGCGGATGGCTCTAGCGGCCTTGCTACGGTTCAAGAGCCTGCTTCTCCTGACCAGACAGACTCAATGATCACAGATGATCAACAACTCCCCAGCCCATCGAACGAGTCTCAACCCCCTCCTTCAATTGTCGTGTCGGAGCAAGGTGATCCATTATCGCAGGATGCCTCAATTGACGGTTCCCCTCAGAAACCAACTGATTTGTCGGATTGAGTCAATCACCAACAGCCGATTTAATTTAATGTTTTATCGATTCCCCTTGATGACGCATCGGAGCCAAACCCAAATAGTCTCCATTGTCATCAACACCACTACTACTACAACCGCCCTCGATTGTATAATACCCATTCCCTACCTACACTACTCTTTGAGCCGCCCTCCTTGATTTGACGAGCCGAGCATGGTTTGATGATACCTTTCTTTCTTTGTTTCTTTTTTTTTTTCTCCCCCATTTCCTCCGAACACTATTCCTTCATGTGCAATCATTGTCTCTTTACTTTTCATTATCCACTCCCGCATACCCACTTGACACCGACACTCTGTCTCTCTCTCTCCTTGTACATAATCTCTTTTTTCCCTATCTTCATCAAACGCTACCTGCCATGGAAATGTCGCCATGATTGGAGGGCGTATCATCGAATTGCATATTGAGCTTGATGTTCAATGTTTCCTGCATTGTCGACTTGTTCTTTACTTCCTACTTTCGGAGCGCAGGCGTGATCGAGTTTTATATCTGCTGTGTATCCTTGATTAGAGCCGCATTAGATGATCTGCTATTGCTTGTGCTTTTCAGGATCAAGATTTAAATAGCCGCAGATAGACAAAATCTATGTTCTGATTTCTTTTAATCTTACAACACTTTTAGGTACTCGTATCTAAGGTTGTATAGTTCTTATCAATCACGTGTATCTCTTATCGTAAGATAAACATTGGACCAATCTTTCTAAGGTCAATTGAACATCTGCACTCTGTCGACATCTACCAATATTTCATTGGTCTAATCTTGCGCATGCGAGCATCTCGTCGAGTACTGCGTTGGGCTTCTCCCTTCAGCTCATCAACAAGTCAACCATGGCAAACGATATCAAATAAATCATATATCCGACGTCATGGCTTTCTCTCCGAATCGTCAGGCCTCCGGCGGAGTCCCGGACAAGCTCGAGCTTTCTCGTCGACTCGCCCTGCTAGATTCGTGCTAGATGCAGACTCTACAATATATGCGCTCTCTACTGCAACCGGACGAGCAGCCATTGCAGTCGTGCGCGTATCAGGTCCGGCCTGTGCCTCGGTATGTATTCCGCAAAACACAACCCCAAACCCAAACCACCAAACTAACAACGCTATCTAGATATACAAAAGTCTCTGCCCAAATCATCCCCTCCCAAAGCCTCGCTATGCAGCCCTTCGCACTCTCTACGATCCAACCCAACCCCCAACCACAAACACAATTCTGGACGCCGGCGCTCTAGTCCTCTACTTCCCCTCTCCCCGAACAGCAACAGGCGAAGACATCCTCGAACTCCACATCCACGGCGGCCCAGCAATAACAAAAGCCGTCCTCTCAGCAATCGCGCAAACAAACACCCCAGACCAAACAGTCCGCTACGCCGAAGCAGGCGAATTCACCCGTCGCGCCTTCATGAACGACCGTCTCAGCCTACCTCAGATCGAAGCACTAAGCGACACACTCTCCGCCGACACAGAGCAGCAGCGAAGACTAGCCGTGCGCGGCTCGAGCGATGCGTTGCTGAACCGGTATGAGCAGTGGCGCCAGGGTCTGCTGTATGCGCGCGGCGAGCTGGAAGCGTTGATTGATTTCTCCGAGGATCAGCATTTCGACGAGTCGACTGAGGAGCTTGTTTCGTCTGTTGCGGGACAGGTGCGCACGCTGAGCGTGCAGATCGGGTTCCATATTGCTAATGCGTCGCGTGGGGAGTTGCTTAGGAATGGTATTCGGGTTGCGCTTTTGGGGGCGCCGAATGCGGGCAAGAGTTCGTTGCTTAATCGCGTTGTTGGGAAAGAGGCAGCTATTGTTAGTACGGAGCAGGGGACTACCAGGGATATTGTGGATGTTGGGGTTGATCTTGGGGGGTGGTATTGTAAACTTGGGGATATGGCGGGCATTCGGGCTGAGGGGGGTTCGGGTGATGGTGAGGTGGTTGTTATTGGGGCCGTTGAGAAAGAGGGGATTCGTCGGGCTAGAGAGAGGGCCTTGGAGTCCGATGTTGTTATTGTGGTTGTTTCACTGGAAGACACTGCCGCTGGTGTCCGGTTGTTCGTTGAGCCGGAGGTGCTTGGTGCTGTTAATGACTGTGTCGAGGCGGGCAAATGTCTCGTGGTCGCTATCAACAAGTGCGACAAGCTACAAACGGCTTTGGAACGTGGTGTACCGCAGTCATTGTCTGATACTATCCACGACCTCTTCCCTTCAGTGCCAGCAGACCGCGTGTTTGCCATTTCCTGCGAGGAAGCTAAGCGGGGAGCATCTCTCAATACCACTACAGATCCGGGTAATCTACAGGTCTTTCTACGTGGGCTAATTACGACCTTTGAGCAGATTGCCTCGCCTCTTGGCGTGGATGGAGATGGAGGGTATGATCTTTCGTATTGGGAAGATTCTCTAGGTGTCACACATCGCCAAAGTTCTAATCTTCAAAGATGTCTCGATCATCTGGACGACTTCCTATCCCAAGCTTCCTCTGCTGAATGCCCTGACTCCTCGCTCAAGAAAGAACTCGGCTCTTTTGATTCCCATGTTGAATGTGAAGTCGATATCGTCACCGCTGCGGAACATCTGCGCTTTGCAGCTGATATGTTGGCCAAGATCACAGGAAAAGGTGAGAGTGGTGATGTTGAGGATGTGTTGGGAGTTGTTTTTGAGAAGTAAGTTTTTGATTTTTGGTTTACTGGTCCGGATGGTGAGCTGACTGTCGTAGATTCTGTGTCGGCAAGTGAAGAGTCCGATTCAAGGATGTCTCCAACGACGAGGTTGACTTGCAACGCCGTCAACACCGTCTCATGATGATTTGTTCGGCAAGAGTCGTGATATCAACTGGTTGCTGGTTGCGAAAAGATTGCTGAAAGTGCATTGTCTTACGCACCTTCTGGACAACCTAATTTTGGCCAGGCTGAGGGTCGGGAGATGGTCGGCTGACTGGGACATTGTACCCTCCTCGACCCATTGTAGAAGACTTGATGAATGATTTAGGCAGAGATGCTTCGAAATAGTAGATGGGAGGCGATATATCGACGAAGAAGTTGCAACAAGTCGATGAAATGTATGAATAGCAGCTCGATAGACTAATAATGTATACGATGATAAACCAAATACCACATCTACCGATCGGCAACCCGATACTTATAAGAAAGAAACGGGCATCCTAAAATTGTCTGCCTTGGTTGCCGGGGACCCATTCATGATCCCAGGCACCCAGGAACGAACCCCCCCCCGGGTTCATCTCCGAAATTTGAAATAGCCACATCATTCTCATTGTCCTTGTGAAAGACGCAGAGATGTCTGTCAAACATGAAGATCTGAGTCAGGATCCGGATTCGGTCCCCGCGAAAGTCAGGCTACTTGCCGTTCGGCGTGTCTTAGTTAGGCCAGATGTCTCCGATACCGAAATATAGCAACATAGCACGCCCTAAATTATGATATTGAGGCTTGGAAGCTATTCTTGTCGTCATGAATGCTACGGTATCATAAAGAATTCCAATGCTGAGGCGAGCTTCAGCTGCAGCCCTATAGAAAGCCGAGTTTGAGGTTGAAACATGCTTCCTATCATTGTGATTACGCACATTTTAAATATTTTAGATATTTGAGATATTTCTATACTTGTCTCTTTTGATTATTTTCTTTCCTATTGGTTACATTATTTCTTTATTTGCTATTCGACTAAGATATTGTCGGGGGTTCAATGTTTCAATTCCAAAAACTCATGTCAGATCTAAGAATAGCAGGATAGCCGCGTAGAGAATTCCTTCTAGAAGGATTGTAGATACAATCAAAATAGAACATAACAAGAATATAACAAGAAAGAAATGGAATGTAGAAGGATGAAAGAGCGAATATCTCGAGAATAAAATAAGAAACCCACGTTGTGCTCCCGGAGAACTCACAGCGTCATCCCACTACCCTGTCATCGGGGCTGACAAGTACCTTGCAGCCTTGGACAAGAATGTAACTGGACTATCTAAACCCCCTGTTCTGGTTGAGAGAGAATAAAAAAAGACCCTTTGTAGACTTTAATAAGCTCATAGCCTGGTAGGGGGTTGATGTGTAGAGGTATAAGTCGGATAACCACCGAGATGTCTCCCTGTGCAAGGTGTGCAGGATGTGCTATGAATGGCTTCATCCCTGTCGGTCCATATGGCTTCTTCATGTAGGGTCTGTTGAACTTTGTTTAGTGGTGCTTATTTCCTGTTAAGGGGTTTGTGTTTCTTTCACCTTTCTTTGTGTTATTCCTATTATTCCCGTAGTTCCTTTTATATGTATATACTTTAAGGAAACTTGCTTGAGAAGGGGCACTTTGACAGTTGATCATACCTAATATACGGAGTATCACTTTGTATAATGTTCCATTAATAGCAATACTGATGTACAAACAATATGAAGTGGAAGAGAAGAATTCAATAAAACATTGCAATGTTGTGTTATTTGGCACTATTCTATCCATATTGGACGCCATTCCCACTCCCAGCCTGAACCAAACCACAATGCCTCACCTCACTGTAGCCCATTTCATCCACCTAACAAACGAAAAAAGAAACCACATCTGATATCTCCTCTCCCTCCCCGAAACTGAGAAAACAGATCCTCAATGTCCTCACACCGCACCAAGCAGCACACCACGTTTTCAATGGCAGGTTGATGTCAGTATCCACATCGAGAAGAACTCAATAGCTGATGTAGTCGGAGCCAGGGCACTCATAGTACTCCACGTAAAAGTCACGGAGAGCACCTAGGCACTCAGAAGGGTTGAGTAGGTATGAGCAGGAAGGGTTGATTTCGACATGATGGTAGAGGTGAGAGATCTGCGGGAACTGAGCCCGGCATTGGTAGCAGTAGAAGGGGTTTGGGTCGGTGAGTTTGTTTCCGTAGAAACCGTACTCCGGAGTCTCGAACGCGAGAGTGCGGATGCGGTCTCGCTTCACACAGCGGCCTTCTTCAAGGTGGAAGAGAAGGCCAGAGAATCCGATCCAGTTACTCGGACAGAACCAGCATTCATATATTGGCAGGCCCAGAGGGTTGTTAGGGTCCTGTCGAGCTGCAGGGTGCTGGTACATAGTGGGTGGTGGAGTGTGGATGTGAAGTGTTTGTAGGTAATTGAAAGTGAATTAATTGGTGGGCGATGGCCGACGAACGATTGAGGATGAATGAAAGATGACGGACGATGAAAAGTGACGGAGTGTGAAAGAGTAGAAGAGGAAGAGGAAGAGGTTGAGTTGTGCTCGTTTTATAGTGAAGGAGAGAGAGAGAGAGAGAGAGGACCTTCTCTTTTGGGATTGTCTTGACTACATCTCTTACGTTCCTTACGGTATCTCCCATCTTCTTGCTCTTTTCATGTTTGAAGATGAATTTCACAGTTAACGAACACTATTATCTTACATGCCGAGAACAGGGAGATTCTTCCTAGAGGATATCACTACATAACTAGAGATAAACTGTTATACCTTGGAAATGTAGTTACAGACCTCGAGATAAAAGATTCCAAGATACTCGGCTTCAAAATGGTTGGACCTATTCATGGGGAGCTATGGCCCTGTAGTCGAGTCCTATATATCTACCTTGTTTCATTGACGGAGTAGAGTTTATCGTATTACGGTTCGCAAAGGGTTTAATCCCGTGAAGGTATCCATAGGTAAAGTGGTTATATCTATAGGATCTCTAATTATAGAAGAACGACACTGATTCCATTGAATGTAAAAAAGGCCAGTTTGCTATTAGTCAATTTCAAAAGATCGATACTGAGATATCCCTTAAACAAACACTACTTGTTGAAAGTATTCTTTAAAGCCCTCCAGCCTGCAAGAGTAGTAGATCGGACCTGTCCGATCACAGGACCGCGAAACCGCCACGCAAAGCGACCAGCCATCCACGTCGATCCCACAACCGCAGCTAGTGCCAATCCACCGACAGCATAGAGATCCCAGTTCTTAGCCTTGAACGTAGAAATGCGCATATCGGCCGTCTGCAAGTGCATCGGGCGCAATTCCTTGCCGTCTTTAAAACGTAGCTCATTGTCGTACATGAGTTCCTCAATTAGATCGGCCGCATGGTACTTGCGGCGACTAGCCACATGAGCAATGCGCTGCAGACGCAGCACATTCTGGCTGTATGTCTCGTTTTCAGACTTGAGAATCTTCTTGGCTTTGTCGTAGACCTCGTCCGATGTAAAGCTAAGCTTGCTCAATGACTCGGCCACACCTCCTGCGACGAGTCGAGCGGTGTTGGCGATTTGGTCGGAGAAGATACCCATTGATAGCATCGGCTTTCCATGGTAAAGTCCCTCGTTGGCGCTAGAGCCTCCACCGTGGGTGAAATAGAGTTTGGTTGACTCGCTGTCGAGGACGGCACGTTGGGGGGCGAAGAATGGGAAGACCCAGTCCGGATGTTTGTTGTCAAGTAGATCGCCCATGGTAGTTTCTTTCGAATCGCCGACGTTGACGGGGAAGGATGCGCTATTAGTTTTTCAGCTGTGAGTAAAAGGAGAGATTTATTCTGGTTAGTGGTGGAGGTCCTTACCTGCGGTCAAGGTCTGCCCGACAGGTCTTGCCCATAGCCCAAATCACACCATCGATTAATCCATCCTGTTTGAGACGATTTGCAGCCTCCACTATCTTGGCAGCATCCTGATGGGGCAGGATGATATGAGTGCCAAGGGCGATATAAAGGACTGATTTATGCTTGGCCAAGAATGCCCCGCATTCCGGGTCTAGTGGCGGGTAGGTCGGACTCAGGAGAGGACCCACAGGAGCAGCGGTTGGAGGTAGATCGCGCGGGATCTCCAACCCAAAGAAAGAGTTGACAAAGATGAGATAGTCTGGTTTACTGGGTTTGTGAGGGGGATAAAAGACGCCATTGTCACTTCGCATCTTCTTGCTCCATTTTCCTGCGCGGATGATGGTAGGAAGATCCGGGAAGAAGAAGATCTCGTTCATGATACGCAGCCACATCGGAGTATCTTCGGATGTCATGGTCCCTGGAAGTTGGAAGCCGGGTTTGCCTGGGATGTACGAACAGGGTAACTGGAATAAAGGCATGTTGGGACAGACGACCGCGATTGGTAACTTGTACTCGAAGTGAATATCGTTGGCTGCCTCAACAAAGAAATCGGCAATTATCATGTCTGGTCGAGTCGCGGGGTCATCCATGATCTCTTTGAGATGATGGTAGGTTTGTGGCCAGAAGGAGTCGAACAGGTATTTGGATCCCATAGCTTGTCCGATACCCTTGGAGATATCCCATGCCTGCATTCGTCGATAGTGACCATCGAGTTGTTCGGGAGTTGGTCCAGGGCCTAACTGGTGAAGCTTGTTGACAAAGTCATACTCAGGTTTCACCCAGCTCTCTTGTCCGTCGAGTGTCGCGAATTCAATTTCGTGACCACGTTCCGCGAGTACCCGGCCAATTTCCAGAACCGGAGCTGTATAGGTTCTTTATTTAGTTCTGTCCTGTTTCACACCTATATTCCACACACTTACCGGCATGGGTGAACCCCCCGGTGGTAACCACCAGCAAGATCTTTCGAGATGGGTGCACCTGGGACTGACTCATTGTGATAGATTGAAAAATGAATGATGTTCCTAAAATGTTGAAAAGGGCGAAGCATTCAACTACCTGAAATCCCGCAGAATTGGCCCCCAAGATAACATCCTTGTCAGGCCACGGACTTCGGGGATTTTCGAATAAATCCCGCCGAGTTGATTGTTGGTCGGAATTTTGTGGAGTAGGTGGAGGCTATGCGGTAGTCTCTTTACTTTGTATACTCTCTTGATTTTCGTGCTAACTCGGGCTCTAATCTATTTACAACATATGTAACAGCAATTCTGAAAACTTCATACTAAATCAGAGTCACTGTGGAGTTAAGAGGCAAATCCCGAGAGCTGAACCCGACACTGATTTGAATCTCTCCACTGGGAATACGCCAATCCTGAGCCTGAACATCCCAGTAACTAAGATCACGGCGTGTGAGACTAAAAGACACTTTCTTGCTCTCGCCGGCATTCAAAGGCACTTTCTCGAAACCGCGAAGCACTCGAATTGGGGTACCAGAGGGAACACCACCACGCGGAAAAGAGAGGTAAAGCTGGACGACGGAAGCTCCTCTACGAGAGCCGGTGTTCTTGACATGTGTTGAAGCATTCACCAGCGTCGTCCACAGGTTCGGATTGCCTCCCAAAGCCAGTGTGGAATTATCGGCTGCAGGAGGAGTAGTTGAGATACTGCCGTGGCTAGCGGAGGGAGTCAATGTGACAGAAATCGGAGATGCCAGAGAAAATGTGGTGTAGCTGAGTCCGTAACCAAACTCATATAGTGGAGTAATTTCCTGACTATCGAAGTGACGGTAGTCAATGAAGAGACCCTCGGTGAAATTACTTTGCCAGGCCCATTCTTCGGTCGCATCGGGCCCAGTGACATTCACAATGGGACCGTTGTAATCCGTTGCATTCTTGGCAACTGTATATGGGAGTCGACCTGACGGGTTGACGTCTCCCCAAAGCACATCGGCGATCGAGTTGCCACTCTCCTCCCCAGGGTAGTGGGCTGCAAGAATAGCTACAACGTTAGGATTAGATGCCCATGGCATCACATTTGGACACCCAGAATGGGTAATCACAACGGTGCGTTTGGGGCATAGATTCGCGACAGCTTCTACCAGCTGAGTGGAGTTACCGTCGGCCTCAAGGTCCGTTCGATCGACCCCTTCAGTTTCCCAAGTCTTCAAGAACACCAGGCATATTTCGGGCCAAGGATAAAGTGTAGTCTGTTCGCCACTGGTGAGGACTGTGGTATTGGTGATGTACTGGACCTGTGCCCCGATCTTTCTAGCCCGAGTTTTGATTGCCTCCAGTGGGGGAACTATGGAACTGGTGCGACCGCCCCCAGATCCACCCCCGACGATGAGGGTCCCGACATTGTACCCAGCGTTGGGATTGAGAGCGCCGGTGGTTATATCGGCTGCATCCTCGCCAAACACGCCGATATTGCGAGGCGATTTCAGGGGAAGAGTGTGATTGACATTCTTTAATAACACTGTCCCTGCAGAACCCATGGTGCGGATCAATGCCGAGTGATTACCCCGAACGTCGCGTCCAGCAGGAGTAGCTGTGCTAGGGCTTAACAAGTGCATACCTGTTAGGACGCCAAAATTTTCGAGCGTGAGTAGCTCTGATGATGGATCAATGCTTGGATAACTGCCGTGATTTTGGCCAAAATACAAATACGGAGTCAAGATACGCTGAACCATATCGTTGAGACGCGTCTCTGGAACCGATCCGTTCTGCACAGCCGTCACCAGGCTAGGTCCCCAGTATGTCTCGTTCAACTGGGTCCCCGAAATGGGCCCTGGCTGGTTCATATCCATTCCGGCCGCGGCCGAGTCAACGCCAGACATGGCACCCATGTAGTCGGACATGACCCAGCCTTCAAACCCTAGCTCCTTCTTTAAGAGATCGTTTAAGACCTGTTTGTTTTGACAGCTGTATGTACCATTGACTCGATTATAGGAGCAAGTCACACTCGCAACACCTGCATGAACAGCATCCGCAAATGGCCATAGATACAGCTCGTGCATGGTCCGATCGTCTATGTTGGAAGATACTGCGGCAACCATCTGGCCGTCAATTTCGGTTGCTTTCCGTTGGGTTTCTTGTTCGTTGCCAATGATGTGCTTCGCATTGGCTTGAACGCCCTGACTCTGCACGCCACGGATCGTATGGTCCATAGCTACACCGGTCAGGTAGGGGTCTGGAGAGAAGCCTTCCCAATTTCGACCACCTAGAGCACTGCGACCCAATGGCCCACCAACTGGCCTGTAATATTCGTTAGCGCTGTCAGCTTCGCGAGGGTTTGAGTCTGATCACCTACCCAAGCATAACATGTGCACCCTTTCCTCGGAACTCGGCACCCATCGTACTACCTCGCTGGTAAATCATCTCCTTATCCCAGGTCGCCGCCATGGTGAGTCCAGATGGGAAAACACTGGCCAAGCTGGCAAGCCGGATCGCAGCAGGTCCATCATGAATACAAAGTCCGCCAAATTCAATGCTTTCCACGGGTGCAACATATGCCATGCATGTCCCGGTCAATGAGCCTGTAACAATTGCAACCTTCTCGGTCACATTCATTCGCTCAATCCATGTTTGTGCATCGTGCCTAGATCTGATCCATTTATTTGTGTCTAGTCCAATATCTATGAATGTCAAAGCAAAGCTAAGTCAGCCTGATGGGATCATTAGCCTTGGGGTCATCATATCCAACATACTAGAAGATTGCCCTAATGCGATGGCCAATTGAGCCAACAATGGAATCACTGTGAACCAAAACATGCTCTTGCAATGTCGATCTAATATTGCTTGAGCGTATTGAAGCAAGCAAGACTACACATGCTTCCTTTTTATTTTCTATCTCTTCTCAAGCACCAATCGGCCTTGCTGGGGTTCATTTTGCGGCTCGATCCTGTCGGCGGTTTTTCTTTGGGGCCATCCATTTGAATGAGATACTGAACGTTCTTCGGCGGGATCTCATCCCCCCGTATTTACTTGTTACGACCCTGGGCCCACATTTGATCCTAGGGCTTACTCCCATTCTGGTCTGATCATGCTGAATCACGGCCCGGTGCATGAAGTCAACGTGGCCTTCAGGATCTCAGGATTTGGTGGCGGTAGATGGCCCCAACACTTTTTATTGGTGTTGAGCAGCAATTTAATGCGTTGCACATAAAGATATTATGAGGCCAGAAGATTGAATTGGGTAGTTGATAGGTCGAAGATGGGCCCATCGGGGTCATCGTCCAGGATAGGAAGGCGGTCTTTTCCAAAAACAGAAGGCGGTATCTTTCACGGAGTATAGTAGACCCGTTTCTGCCAGACAAAAACACAATCAACCAATAAAGACCCTCCTTCGCTCAGTCTTCGCTTAGTATTATCTCCGTTTTTCCTACGTTGTATAACCTGTGTCCCGATGTATCCACCTTTTCATTTTATGGATGCGCTGGATGCGCCCAATTGGTTAACAAGTCAGGGATCTCCAGAGCTGAGTATCCATTTGGTCCGGTTGGAGGAATATATCCGCACCTCCTGCGCATAAGCCTTTTAAGTAAACTTTGCAAGTCTTGGTCGGTATTTAACTAACTTCCGATAGAAACTTGAATATATGTATGATGGATGAATATTATCTGAAAATACCCATACTCCGAATGCTAGAAATAGAAGATGCATTGTGCTTGTATGGGCTCTGACGAAATATGCAGAGTAGTGGCCCCCATTGGGGCCAAAAACTCCCCAATTCCATTGGGCAATACAATAGAGGCGGCTATTGAGCACAGTCAATGAGTTACATTGACAATTACCACTTCAAGCCGTCTTACAATGTAATAAGTACTGGCCTGTTATATCTGCTTTACTGCGACCCATCTTGCATCCTCAAACTCGTGTATATCAAAATCCGAACTCCGTCCCATCCTCGATCTCAATCGATATGGATACCTCTCATTGGAAAGCACCGCTCCACAAACGAATAGCCTGCGATCGATGCCATGCTCGAAAATTACGTTGCTTGCGGGAGATCTCCACTTCGAAATGCAGTCGATGTATCCAGGATGGCTGCGTCTGCACATATAGTCCACCACTGAAGTCGGGACGACCAAAGAAAGCTCGCCCACCGGTCTCGGTTGATCACTTTGATCTTGATGCAATGCACAATGCTGCCGATCAATCACAAACCCCACTGGGCTCAAAGAGTACAAGTCGACACTGCTTGACTAGCAGCGATGTAGGAGACACGACCTCTCCCTCATTTCTGTCAGACATGCTCTCAAACTCAGAAGCTGAAAGTGCTGGCGCTAGTATGGATATGTCGGATGTCAGTTCATTCTTGGACACTGGATCTGCCGCCATGGACTTCTCTAATGAAATGCCTGCATCATCCGGCACTTCCGAAAATACTCTTTGGTCCGATTTGCTTCAAGCAAACACACACTCCTCTCGCTCCACCGACCATCCAACCTATTCTTCCGACGCACAAACCTACAGCCATCTCCTTGGAGGTCTCAAAACACCACCGGTGGATGACGACCCTGGTCGCGATATACTCTGGACCTCGGGCGACGAGGGTGTCCCCCCGAACATCTCTCGGCAGTCCAATATATTGAACCAAATAGCATCCAGCAATCTCGATATTGACACCCCCAAAACTGGTATCGACAATAGCAATAAAGGTCGGTCCGGATTACTAGAAAAATTATCCCAATTACAACACGAGTTGGTCCAATCTACGAAGGCTGATACATCCGATGATGTGGTCGCACCAAGCACTGGGCGTTCAAGCGCATACAACAATGGAAGCGATAATTCATCACATAAACACCCCGTTAATTCTATCTTAAAGCCTGGCCAAGAGCTGATAGACATCATTCGCGATTTACTCGCTAAATGCGAAGAGCAAGGTCCAGATCAGGCAGAACACTGCTTCGACCACGCTACGCTTGTTCTTTTCGTGATCACCCCACTATCTCTTCTGCTTTCCACATACGAACGGCTATTAAAAGAGATATCACCTGCCCTGCATCCATGGTCTTCACACTACAATTCTGATGGAAGTATGATGGCTGGCTCAAATGGTGCACCGCATGTGTCCAATGCACATCACCAAAAGACACAACAGAACAGCTCTTTCCAGGACCGTCAAATAAAATCCCGTGACAGCCACCCAGGATCCTATCCCACGCTCCTCGCTGATAACCTGAGTATGAACCTGGGTGAAATGAATCTAGACCACCAAATGCAACTTGTTGTTGTAGTGACGGTCATCAACCGTCACTTAATCTACCTGGAGTCTGCGCTACATCAATATCAGAGTCGGCGCACTGATGGGAGGTTCACTAAGGACATATCTGAGAGGCTATTTACTACGCTAATGTCTGAAATGAGAGCTTCAATCAAGCTTCTTAAATCAGAGGCCAGAGACCTGCTTTGAAACATGTGACGATTCTATTATACTTTTTTGTTCTCAATTTGCGCGAAAGCTCTGCATTTAGGAGACTGGAAGAGTAGATGGATATAGATAGACAAGTATGGTTGTTTGAACTAGAAATTACTTCCTGGATCACCGCCACAATAAAGAGCTCCGTAAAGCCCATAAATGGGGGCGCAAGGCCCAACCAGCAGTAGATTATATTATCTATGGAGGCCCATAATAGCCCATAATAACCCATTGAGGGGGTCTGTCTTGACGCTTATAAACCGGCGTGTTGTAATCGCTACCTAGATATATTCTGGCCTTCTCCTGATTTCTAATTTTATAGAGTTTTAACTTAGAATATAGAGTTAAAATAGCTATATACGTATAAATTTCAATTTTAAAACAAAATCTAACTGGTAGAGGTCGAGATATCGCGAAAAAAGCTATATTCAGGAGTGATGCGGGAGCGAGTACTTACTTACTACCACTTTCTGAGTTAACCTCTGTAATTTAAAACTTATCTAAATAAAGCGTTTTCTCGCGTACTTAACCGTGATATATAAATTTAACTAATCATTAATTACGTATCAATTAAAATAATAAAATATTAGCCCGATATAAGAGCTAGAAACGGGATCTAAACATGAGGTAATTAATGATTCAAAATGATTGCATTGTTGGTGCCAATTGGGCCCAATGGGCCCTTACCCGGGCCTAACGCGTAGCCCATTTGCGCGTTGAGTTGGGTTGGGCTATGGGCTTTGTGGACTTTGCGGAGGTCTATCTAAGATGACTAATACTAATATTGAGCTCATTCCTTTGATCCATCAAAACCACTTCGTTCGGCAACCTTGAAGGCAAGACTCTGCAAGCTAGATGCTTGCAGAATTTCAAATACAGGGAAGTCCACCTTCATATCCTTTTGGAACCAGTTGCGTAATTCAACAGCAATAAGACTGTCGATACCAAAGGCGCTGGTCGGACGGTGGGGATCTAGCTCAGCCATGTCAATCATCAGATTGCGGCTGAGCTTTGCCCGGATAGCTTCCAGAACGATGACAGAGGCATCAGTGAAGCTGTCAACTTCCTTCAACAGAGAAAGTGTAGATCGTGTGGTTTGATCTTTCGAGCCGCTAGAGGACAACATGTCCAGCTTGGACAGATGCGAGAAGATCGGGCTCGACATCCAAGAGACCTCACTCCCGCCTTCGCTGGCATCAATGCCGGCAATAATAACCGACGTATGCTCTTTCTGCGCACCCTGGATAACTAGCCCCATACTGGCAAGTAGTTCCGCTTCGGTGACACCGACATACCCCTTTCGCTTCAGGTTGCGCAATTTCACTCCGCTTTCTTCTTCGGCTACCGCACCAACATCAATCATGAGACCCAGATCGATAGCAGTCGCGGGCCTTCCAATGGTCCGCAGGTAGCTAGCCAAAGCATCCTGGTAGGTATTGCCAGCACCGTAATTTGCCTGCCCGGGGTTACCAAGGACTCCAACTGCAGAGGATAGGATCACAAAGAAGTCCAGTGGTTGACCGATCGTGGCCTTATGGAGATTCCAGGTACCGTCAACCTTGGGGCGAACAGCACGGTTGAAGCTATCTAGTGACATATTTTCGAAAATCTGATCGTCCAAGACCATAGCAGCTTGGATCATACCACGAATTGGTGGCATGAAGGTAGCGACCCGTTCTAGCTCGGACTTCAGGGCCTGGCCATCAGTGACATCTACCGAAAGAGGCTCAACGCGCACATGGAGCTCTTCGAGTTCCTCGATAAGCTGCTTCATGGCGGGTCTCCTGGCCCCGGATCTGGAGGCAAAAATTAGGTTTCTGGCGCCGTGCTCAGCTAGCCAGCGGGCGAGACTTTGGCCAAGACCTCCGAACCCAGCAATCAGATATGACGCATCTGGGGACAGAGTGAGGGGGCGGGGAGCCACGGGATAGGCCTGGAAGTACAAGTTAGTGGTTTGTATTCAAGCGAGACAAAAAGGACCCTTGGAACTCACCGGAACAATGTCATTCTCACCCGGCACCGCAACAACCTTTCCGACGTGTTTACCGGCTTGCATGAAGCGGAATGCCTCTTCAATCTGGGAAAAAGTGAAGGTCTTCACCGATTGAATAGGGCGTAGTTTCTTGGATCGAATCAAGTCCATGGCCTCAGCCAGGAGTCTGGATGCAAGGGGCACATTGCACCAGCGCACTGTGTTCAGGTCAAGTGCATGGAAGCTGACATTGCGAACAAATGGAGCCATGTCCAAAAGACGGTTCTCAATGATGTCCTTTTTTCCAATCTCAATGAAGCGACCGAACATAGCGATACAGCTCCAGGTCGCACTGAGAGCTTCACCGGCCAGACTGTTCAGTACAACATCAACACCACGTCCACCTGTCGCCTCCTTGATCTGGCGTGCGAAGCTGAGGTCACGGCTGTTGAAGATGCGGTCCTCGGGGATACCGAACTCGTGACGCACAAGGTCTCGTTTGGCCTGAGTCCCCACGGTGACGAAGACATCGGCACCTACCATTTGGGCATACATTATAGCAGCCTGGCCAACGCCACCACTAGCCGCGTGAATAAGCACCGACTCGCCCTTAGATAGGCGAGCCATGTCTGAAAATCCGTATACAACGGTGGCAAACACAATGGGGATAGCAGCAGCAACCTCAAAACTCATATCGTCCGGGATACGTTGCATCACTCGGGCATCGTTGCGCAGATAGTTACAGTAAGTGTTGCGACTCCAGACAGTGACTCGATCGCCAATTTTGACATTGTCGACATCACTACCAATGCGAGTGACAATACCTGAGCATTCAAACCCCAGCGCAGTATCAGACATTTGGCCAGTACTGATCATGATATCTCGGAAGTTGACGCCAGATGCCTTGACCTCTACCTCTGCATCATGAGAAGCTAGAGGCTCAGCTAGGCGTGTGTCATCCTCAAACACTAAGGTATCGAGCAGACCGGGAGTCTTGATATTGAGCTTCAACGGACGGCCCGTCTGATAGAATGGCTGTTCTTCAATTTTCTGGTGCTGCGCTGCATCTCCCGAAACACTGTCATGGATCACACGGTTGACTTCCGGCACTCCAATGACTCGATTAATCTGCCAGCAACCGTGTTCGAACCAAAACTCGCATTCCTGAGACTCAGGATTCCTGAACAAAAACTCGAACAAAGAGATCACATGGTTTGCAGCATCCTCAGGCTCCTGGTGGTCAATCGTTGCGAAATCAGCGGTGACCAACTTGTGAGTCTCATTCTCTGTACGCAGAGTACGTGCAAGTCCATGGAAAAGCGCACGATCAGGATTTTTAGAAGTACCACTCGCTCCTTCAGATATCCACAGCAGGGCGTTGCCTGTTCGCAGGTGCTGCAATGAATCGAATTCGGATTGATTCAGATCGCAAATGATAGCGCGATCGAGCTCGGCAATTGAGATGGAGAAAGTATTCTCAAGTGGGGTTTCCGCAATGCGAGAGAGTGGGACTGTCTGTACAGCAAGGCCCATCTCATTCACACGGCGCTCAATCCTCTTCCTCAGTACCTCGGACGAATCGGAGATAACATCATCAGTTATAATGATTACTGAGTTGACTTCCTGGTCTTGCGTCTCCTCAATCACAGGGTCCACGGCGACGCATGACCACACACGACCTATCTCGTCCTTAGAATTCAAATTGTTTGGAGCTCCTAAAGTAAAATCCCCGAACCCGTGACGCTTCAAAACCTCTCCCCACATATCCTCGCTCATGGTGGGGCCCCACTTGCGATAGCTTTCTTCTGACATCCACCAGCCAGGAGTGCAGCCGAAAGGCAGGAAGACTTGGTTCAGTGGGTTAGAAATCTCAACCATAATAAGCCGGCCACCTGGCTTCAGGAGCTTGCGAGTGTGCTCGATCGTTTTGTCAATGTTTGCGGTAGCATGAAGGACAAGGGCGGCAACGACCAGGTCGTACTGCTTCTCGAAGCCTTGTTCGACAGGGTCTTCTTCGATATTGAGGCGACGGAAGTCCATCAAGCCTTCCCAGTCTTTGAATTTTAACTGAGCTTGTTCAAAGAACCCGGACGAGATATCGGTGAAGGTGTACGATTGGAATCGAGGGTAGCGACCATTGTTGCCTCCCATGGCCTCCAAAATACTCTCTGTGGCACCGCCGGTACCTGCACCTATCTCCAGAACTTCCATGTTGGGGTTCTTATTGGAAAGCAATGTGGCATACTCGTGAAGAGTCGTTGTCGGTATCATGCGACCATAGTACTGATACAGCCGGTCATCTTCCAGCATGATAGCCAGGGGGTCAGCTTCACTGAGCAAGATCTTATCTAACTGCCGTCCAACACGGCAAAGGATCTCAGAGTCCACATCGGTTGGTTGCAAACGTTCAATAAGTGCCTCCATCTTTGCTGCAATGAGAGGGTCGTTGAGTTGTTGCCATTCGGCAGTCTGATGAGGGAGCTGCTGAGCCATGACCAAATCACGTTGGTACTGCAGGTACTCGTAGAACATTTGGAAGTGAGGTTTCATGGTGTATACCTGCTCTTCACGGATATTCTGGAGAGCTTTGTGGTAGAAGTAGTAGGCAATAGTCTCCAGCTCAGAAACGCGAGATGAGTCCTCAACAGGAGGGAGAAGCTGGCACATCATGCTGTCAGTCAATCCCCGCGGCATCAAAGTAGGATCAGGCTGCCAAGTGGAGTGGAAGCACAGCTTGCGAAGAGAAGCATTTTCATCCTGATTTTCGGCGGATGCGGCATCAAGTCTGCTGCAACCCATGCCTTTGTACCCAGCGACTAGCTTACCGGTAGCCTCATCGGTAACTAGGACCTCGGTTTTCAATTCTCGAGGGCCACTGGGAACCGCGGTAGTAGCACACTTGAAGGTACTTCCAGGTCCTCGCGCGACGTCCGTTGAGATGAAGACCTCCTCAAAAGAGACTGGGACAAATGCAGCTGGACAGGCATTCTTTTCGTGTAAGAAAGCCGGGAATATCATTTGAACAAAAGCATCCATAGTGGCAGGATGAATGATGTGGGGGTACTCAAAGTTATGAGGCATCAATTCCTTGGTATTGGGTACCGTGATAACACCCTGGGCCTCTCCAGGGTTGGACCTGAGCTCGCCAATCATGTTCCGGAACGGATGTTCAAAGTTGAGTCCGACCTCAGCCATCATTTTGTACATATTCTCGGCTGAGCGAGATCCTGAAAGGTTGGTAGAGGCCATGACTCTCTCCAAGTCGGGGAGGTAGGGCAAGTTGTTTGTTGGTGCAGCTGCGTTGACTTCGTGAACAGCAGAAATTAACCCATGGGCATGCTCTAGCCAGGTGCCAGAGTTGTATGAAAAGATACGGAACTCATACCAGACATCGGAGAAGGTTGAGCTACTTTCTTTATAGTGACGCATAGAGAATAGTGTCTCTACCATCTCATCGTTGGATGGGATCACCAACGCACGGCTGATCTTGATGTCCTTCAGGCGGTATCCAACCAACTCTCCAGCCGGGGTGATGTACTCAGGGAAGTCCTTCATGTGATGCATCGCTTCGATGGCCATGCAAATATATCCCATTCCTGGGTAGATATAAGAGCCCTGGACACTATGACCCTTGATCCAAGGTTGCTCGCGGAGTCTAAGCAGGTTCCTCCAACGCGGCTCCATGGGGTTCCAATCACTGACAGGGTATCCGAGCAAATCTGTTCGTGCGTGACGACGGAAACGGTGCTCTAAAGCTAGACGGGACTCATGCCAGTGACGCTTACGATGGTTCCAGAAATAAGCGGGGAGGTCGACAATCACCTGGGGCTTTGCAATGTTGTCTGGATCATTGATCTTGGACAGCTTCACGGGTAAACCCCTGGCAAAGAGAAACGCGGCTGCTTGTAGGGCAGTCTCACAGGCATCTTGCCCGCGCGAAAGGATTGACTGGTAACTGATCTCAGCCTTTTCCAGTGCAGGGACACGGAGGATTTGCTTCACAGGGCCAGCAAGAGCGGCATGAGGACCAATCTCCATAATTATGTCCATGGTCACTCCAGCACGACGGCGTGATCTCTTACCACTAGGCTGTGATGTACAGAGGGACTGAAGACCGTCGTTGAAGCGAACGCAAGACACCATGTTCTTGCGCCAGTACTCAGGCCCCAGGACGTCAGTCGCCGTCACAAGCGCTCCAGTAACAGTAGAAAACATCTCAACATCGGAGACAGGTTTAACTTCCATATCAGCAATGGCTTTCGCATAGTCGTCCGCCACCAGGTCCATGTGATGTGAGTGGTACGCGGTACTGACTTTGAGGAACCGGGCGAAGACTCCATCATCTTGTAGCGACTGACTAAGACTGTCAAGCGCAAGGTGATCACCGGAAATTGTGACACTGGTGGGACTATTGATACAGGCGACAACTGCCTTTCCAATGGCTGGGTCTAGTGCAGAAATCCTTTTGTTGGCCTCTTCCTCCGACAGTCCGACGGCCATCATGCCTCCATTGGCGGACAGCAGTATCTTTGCACCAGAGTACACACCACGGAAATATGCAGCCTTAATGGCTGACTCCGCTGGTAAAATACCAGCAGCATAAGCCGCAGCAATTTCACCACTAGAGTGCCCAATGACTTTGTGAGGGCGGATACCCCAGCTAGCAAGGAGATCGACTAGAGCCATCTGCACGACTGTGCATAGAGTCTGGCTGAAGAGAGATTCGTTGATTCGTGAATCCTTCTCGCTTTTCTCTAGCTCCTCTATCACTGACCATTCGGCACCCAGCTTTGTGATGAAAAGATCTGATTCCAAGATGCGGGAATGGAAAACAGAGTATCGACTGAGCTCACGACCCATAGCATACCACTGCGCTCCTTGTCCGGTGAAAACAAATCCTAACCTTTGGGCTTTGGTTGGCGCTCGGACAGGCTTCTGGTGAGTGTTCAGGATCTTGTCTTTTAAATCAGATACGGATTTTGCGACGAGGAATGATCGCCATTCCAGTAAGGATCGACGGGCACATTGGGTGTAGGCCAGGTTGTCCAGGAAGGCTTCTTCGTCAGCGATCTGACGCTGAGCAAGGTGCTCGGCGTAAGCGGTGTTGTTCAGGGCCCCGATGCTCTCTTCGTGAGTTGACCACATGAATATACGGTAGCGGTCATTTGCTTCAACCACGTGGCTAGCGAGGCTATCGGAAAGGCTGTTATTGAACCTGCTTTGCTTGCTCATGAAACCGTTTCCTCGGAGCGTGAACGCTCCGTGGCTCTCATTGCCGCTGGCGACAGTACAATTAACGTCCAGAATAGTCTTGGGGGAGGTTCGGTGTCCAGCTCGTAGGCCACGGCTGAGGAGGTAATGATAAGCATCGTCAATAATAACATGACTGTTGGATCCACCGAAGCCGAATGAGTTCACACTTGCACGACGTTGACCTTCACGCGGCCAAGGCATCACTTCCGTAGGGACCTCAAGATTCCACCCCTTAAGGTCAATCTTCGGATTAGGTGATTCAAAGCGAATATTGGGAGGAATTACACCTCGCTCAAGCGCAATAACAGCTTTGATGAGACCAGCAAGACCACTAGCACCCTCTGTATGGCCAATGTTGGTTTTCACACTGCCAACGTACAAGGGTATCTTCTTTCCATTCTTGTCCAAAGGGCGACTCTGCCCAAACGTAGCGCCTATAGCGCTTGACCTAGAACGAAGTGGTCAATACAAATAACTCGGTCACAACCTCTCCATGCAACTTATGGGACTTACTCAATTGGATCACCAGCCTGGGTTCCTGTACCATGGGCTTCGAAATAATCAGTTTGATCAAATTCAAGACCAGCATCACGGTATGCGGTTCGGATAAGTTCCTGTTGAGCATCCGGAGATGGCTGCGTAATACCAAAAGTCCTTCCATCTTGGTTGCAAGCGCTGCTTCGCACGACCGCACGAATGGAGTCATTATCACGAATCGCATCTTCAAGTGGCTTGAGAATCAAAGCAGTAACTGCCTCGCCACGAGCATAGCCATTGGCACGATCATCGTAGCTGTAACATATTGAGTCCGGACTGAGAAAGTGCAGATTCGACATGGTCGAAAATACATCCGGCATAAACATGAGGTTGGTGGCACCGACCACAGCTTGTTTGCTTTCACCAGCACGCAGACTTTGACACGCTAGATGCATAGCAATCAACCCACTGCTGCAAGCAGTGTCCATGGTCAAGCTTGGACCTTTGAGGTTGTAAAAGTAACTGATTCGGTTGGATAAGATTGATGATGAGTTACCAGTGGAGGAGTGAATTGGTGCAATCTCCGCATCGCGATCGCCCATATCATAGTAATCGTGGGAGAAGCAGCCCACGTAGCAACTTGTCATTGTGTTTGCGACATCTTCGAGTGTCATACCGCCACTTTCCATCGCCTCGTAGACAGTTTCTAAGAGGAGTCGCTGCTGCGGGTCCATACTTTTTGCCTCAGTGGGCGAAATTGAAAAGAACGAGGCATCGAAAGCACCAAGGTCCTGTTTCAGGAAATGTCCTCCTCGAGCATTCATCTTTTATTTTTCCAAATGTTAGTTAGGACAATTTATGACGGGGAGGTATCTAAAACTCTGAGAACATACATTTCCGGCTCGTTCGGCGTCTGGATGATAAAAAGCATCAACATTCATTCGATCCTTAGGGATCTCGCTCCAAGCTGCTTGCTTTTCAGCAACGAGCTTCCAGAGTTTATCGGGGTTGGTAGCATCTCCAGGAAAGCGACAGGACATGCCCACAATAGCAATTGGCATGGACTTGTCCTGTTGCAGGATACTCCGAATCAGAGCATCCGGCTGGCGGTAATCAGCATCAGTCACGAAAGGCATCTTGAAGAATAGTATACTTTCGAGAATAGCTCTTTCAAAATTTCCAAGGCATATATATGCAACTCCTGTATACATCGGTCATTTTCGTGCCTCCCGGCAGGTTTGCCGGCGGATTCGTCTGAACCTTCCGAGCGGCGGGATATGCTTCGTCTGGGGGCCAATTCTCTTCGCAGATTATACAAGTGATTTGTTGAACTCGGTCTAATTTAAGAACCCTCCGAGGCTAGATAGGACTTGTCGACCATAATCCCCTCCTCGTTGTAATTTTTGAAGCCAGGCAATTGACCTGGCTTGCAACTATACAAATCTCGCCAAAATGAGGTTCATTTGCCTACATGGTGCTGGAACCAATTCTCATGTTCGTATCACATCTTTCGATGCTTCTTATACATTTGATAGCTTACAGAGAATTGATTGTTCAAGGTGCTCGACATTCAGACTGGTTCGTGGAGGCAGTATCATCCATTCCGGAAACCATTGTCACTAACATGAACGAAACATAGGGCCAATCCGCCAAGCATTGGGTTCGAGTGAAAAGTTCGAATTCGTGAATGGGTTTCTTGATGTGGAGCCGGTCGCACGTATGCTCTTTTCTTTGTATGAGACGATATATGCCCAACTAACATCAGGCATAGAAATCAAAAACATATTCGCGGGCCCCTTTTTCACATGGTATTCACCAGGTTTCGGCGGTCATACCCTGGAAGAGGCAAAAGCCGATTTGATGGACTTCATTGAGACCGAGGGTCCCTTCGATGCCTGTCTTGGATTTTCTCAAGGGGGCAGCTTGCTAGCCTCCATTATTATGGATCATCAAAGAAGAAATCCATTTGGTCCAAACCTGTTCAAACTTGCAGTCTTTCTATGCTCTGGTGCCCCTCTTCTTGTCCCCAAATCTCGGCAGCTACCAGATGTCTCCACAGACCTTTGGTTAATTGCGGAGTTGGAATCACTCACTGAACCTTGGCTGGGTCCCTATGTCCCAGGTCATGAGCCCATGTTGGACGAGTCATGGAACGTCTTCATACCGGACAAGGTCAACAAGGCCGGTCTCACCATCAACATACCCACCGCTCATATTTACGGGTCGAAAGATGAAACGCTTGGTCTAAGTTTGAGACTACGAGACATGTGTGATCCGAGGTGGAGGGTAGAGCTGGACCATGGGGGTGGACACGACGTGCCCAGGGCGCCACATACCGTTCAGATGATGACGGCAGTTATTCGACGAGCAATTGATCATGCCCTGACTGCGCAATAAGATGCTTCCAACTCATGCCCTGATAGCGATTAGAGTCGTGTTATATTTGAATCGAGCATTTGGAATGTACAAGGAGACCATCCTTTTTCAACCACTTGAATACCTACATATATTTCTTGTTAAATTAAAGTTCTAAAACAAAAGAGACAATGAAAATCACAAACGAACATTAGAATGTTATCTTACAACATCCCTTGTATCTTCTTCGGCCAGATGGGTAGTTCAGAGTGTTAAATTCCTACGTCGTGAGCAATATATGCCCTATACGCAGCCGACTACTCTTGCAAGCCATCTTTCAAATACTTGATTTTGGAAAAAGCATACCCTTCATCAAACTAATTTAAGTTATCTTCTTTGCCATGCCACCGTAGCTCACTGTCAATCAATTAACTGTGTCCTTTAGACTGGGACGGGTGTCATACCTGGAAATGGGTCCGGCAACTTGTTCGGATGAGCCAGACACCAATCTGCAAGACGTAGAACCAAATTTCGCAGTCGGGCTAGCCATTGACTGTTACCGGCCATGAAGACGAGATTATGAACAAACATGCTACTCTTGGCTGCTGCAAACCCTCTTTGGAGCATGGAAGTCTCATATGCCGCAAGTCTTGTTACAAGCGCGTGATCCTCGGACTGCAGGGTCTCAGCAAGTGCCATGGCATCCGATATAGCACTTGTGGCTCCTCTTCCAAGGTATGGAGTCATGCTGAATTAATGTTAGTTATGGATGCCGATAGAAATTCGGTTAAGTTGCAAACCTATGAGCAGCATCTCCCAACATGGTCACTCGTCCGGATTGCCAGGGACTTATCGGATCCTGGGTCTTTAGGTAAGAGACAAAGACAGAGCTTGGTACAGTAATCGCGATCAGCGATCGAAGCAGGGGGTGCCATTCTCGCGCTCGGGCAAGACATTCGTCTTTTAGCTCCTCTGGTGTCATCTTGTCTGAAGACTTCGACTGGTGATGAAATTCGTTCGAGTAGCAGCCAAGACCAATCATGAGAAATGAATCATCGGGGTTGATAGTTTCCAGATTGTATGGACCGTATGGACTTTCTGGATTCTTGAAATAAGAAATGACCATTGATTGCCTAGGAGTCAAAACCTGAGATATTGGAAATTAGATTCGGTTAGGAAATATGCTAAATATCATAAGATAACCACTCACCATCCCGCCAGATTCCCAAGGGATCATAGCCTCAGTCTCTGGGGTGAAAGGCGCCTTGAAGTAAATGATAGTAACACCACTATCACTCCTTGTGCTATTCGGAAGAAGTTGCTTTCTGATTTGAGATCCGGCCCCATCGGCCCCGACAAGGAGATCACATTCTATTGTGTCGCCATCAGCGAAGTATGCTTTGATAGTGTTTTCCCCCTGGTCATATGACCGAAAGGACTTGTTGAATTTAACGAAGTCTCTAGACCCGTGAAGCAAGGCATTGCGGAGTTTCCATCGAGATACTGAGTATGCTGAGAGCGACACAGCTGTGTCATTGCGAAACTTGACACTGCAGGCCTGATCCATAAGACAGACTCGGTTTCCATAGGATTTGGATGCTCCGACGGCCTTGCTCAGTAGTTCACGGACTTCTGGCTCCATCTTCTCTCTCATTGATTCAAAAATCTCGGGCAGAACCAGGATCCGAAATCCAGTAAGACTGTTACCCTCGCCTTCTCTAGATCCACGCTCATAGACGGTCACATCGAATCTCTTGTCATTGCATAGTAACTGTGCAAGAACCAGTCCCCCAATACCACCACCAATAATGGCCACTCGAAGGGTGGTTGAGCAGGCGGATTGATCTGTCTCCATCTCTGAATGTGGGACAAAGATGGACTGGCAATGGAGGCTCTTCCCTTGATTCACACACTCTCCAAGAATGTTTATTTGACCCCATCCCGGTTGATATGTATGTTTTGGGGGCGGATTGTCCCCACGCCACTCGGCGGGAATCAAAGAGTGGAGCCATGAACTCGGCGGCTTTTCAGACAAAGGATATGGCCCCCATGAAAGAAGGAGAATGAGGTCTGAGGTGAGACTCTGCGCAAAGTGATAAAAGGATTTGTTGTGGATCTGTGCTCATACGATACCCCTCTGTGCAGGGATGTGAGATACCCGGAAGCTTCCGTGTAAGAGAGAGGGTTGTCCTCTTTTCCTGTGATTTTACCGTATTCCATGCATATGCGGCCCTTTTACTCTGAGTCCTTTCCCCCGCCAAGGGCCATTTTTGAGCACAGGTTTGATGGTCCCATTTTCTGTCAAGAATGGACAATAGCAATGTTATCCCGCAAAATGTAGCTTCCCAGCCTTTTGATGAGGAAATTCAGGCTATTGAGCAAAATCGTCCCAAGCGGGCAGCCCATATCGATGGCGCCCAAATTGGGACCTTGCGAATTTGCTTCATCATGGCAGGGTTCGTGTCAATTGTCGATTTACTCGTTCAAATACTGATCTACATATTGGTGTAGCCTGTGGACTTGCCTCTTTCTCTCCGCACTAGAGACCACGATCGTTTCAACGGCTCTTCAGACAATATCAAGTGATTTGCAGGATCTATCCAAGTCAACATGGATTGTCGTCGCCTATCTCCTCACCTACAATGGTATATATAATCTGTAATTCGGAAAAGAAGCACGATAGTTCACTAATCCATTGCCTTTCAACCAGGATTCTTAATTCTCTTTTCCAAGTTGACCGATATTTTTGGACAAAAGAGCTTGCTTATTATGGCACAATGCATCTTTCTTGTCTTCTCAATGGCTTGCGGTGCCGCCCAGACAATGACACAGCTGTATGAAATCCCAAGAATCTCCAGTAGACAAACGCTAACCGTACCCGAGCATCATATTTCGTGCTCTGCAGGGAATCGGTGGCTCCGGCATATACTCAATCGTCTTCGTCATCATCGGCAAAATCGGGACTGTTGAGAAGATGCCACTCTATATGGGAGCCATGACTTCAGTGTTTGCTATAGCGAGCCTCTTGGGTCCGATCCTTGGGGGTGCAATCGTTGACCACACTACATGGCGATGGGTCTTCTTCCTTAAGTATGGCCATTTAACTTCCTATACGCATCTAACCTCCAAACGGCTGATACTTCTATCATAGCGGTCCTGGAGTTGCAATTTCCTTGCTAATTCTTGTCCCTGCAATCCCAAATCTAGGCGAGAAGATGATCGAGAAAGAGAAATTGAGGCGCATCGATGTAATCGGTGGACTTTTATCTCTCGCTTGGCCTATTCTACTGATCTTCGCGCTAGAAGAGGGTGGACAAGCATACCCGTGGAAAAGCAGCGTTATAATTGGGACTCTCGTCGGGAGTGGAGTTGGCATTTTTGTCTTCGGCATCTATGAACAACACGTTCAGAAACAAGCGAAGCAAGAGCCAATGCTTCCTATCGGTCTTCTCAAGATTCCGGCTCTCTGCCTTAAAATCATGTGAGTCGCTTTCGATCATCAATCTCATGCACAATCAACTCATTTTGCCTTACAGAATCATGTTCACAATGGGTGGTTGCTTCTATGCGGCGATAATACTTCTCCCCCAACGATTCCAGGCTGTCAATGGAATCTCTGCAGAGAGAGCTGGGATTAATCTCCTCCCTTTCACTATCGTGTCACCAGTCTTCTCGGGGCTTTGCGGTGTCCTTCTTGCCAAATACCAAAAGAGTGTCGGGCCTGTGCTGTTTATATCGTCGGTTTTCACGGTCGTCGGAATAGCCATGCTCGGTACACTCTCGAGCGATACTTCTGGTCTTGAACCAAAAGTTTATGGGTTTGAGCTTATTCTAGCTATAGGCTTAGGCCTCATGATGCCACCCATATTTTTCTTTATCAAAGTCGAATACGATGATTCAGATTTCGGTAAGTATCAACGTGCTATCCGGTCAACCCCCTTTCAAAAGATCCTCGCAGCAATACTAAGCCCTCTCAATCAGCTGCGATCATGGGTGCAACCAATACTGCTAGAACGCTAGGCGGCTGTGTCGCCGTTGCCATATGCTCTGCCATTCTGCATGCTGATTTGAAATCCCATCTCAATTCATTCCTCTCCCCAAGTCAGATTGAGGCTGTCCTCAGCTCGACATCTGGCGGCTCGACCTTGACCGCGCACGACAAGATCAAGCTACAGCAAGTTTATGGTGCAAGTTATAATACCCAATTCCGTGCCTTATTGGCATTTGCAGGGCTCAATCTACTCTCCGCGGCTGTTCTGTTGTTTGATCGGCGTAGGAAAGCTAGCCGATCCAAGGGCTGACAGACCCACGTTGCCAGATATAGGTCATAATCACATATTTAGTCTTGCGACTATCTTTTCGCGTGTTATTAAATCATATTCTTGTCTTGTTCACTAGATCTCACTTAACCCACCTTCTCCTTAACATACAGCTCCTTTTAGATGTCTTGTTGCTCCTCATGACTCCTGACCCATGGTTTAGGTATGCCCATGTCTAATGTCGATAGCTAATAGAGACAGAGCCGGACCTTGCTGGGTAAAAATCTGGATAGGGCAGTTCTAAATAGCTACAAAGTTCTGGTAAAAGGAAAACAAATTACAAGTAACTTTAAATTCTCAACTGTGCCCTTTATTGTTCCATTATTAACCACCAATCTCTATAGGTTGACATTCGAAATCAATTTTATGTTGAAAGTGCGGGTTTCGGATATGCGGGTTTCGCTCAAACCCGCAATTCTTAGCAATCCCCCTTAACACCAGATCATAACAGGACAATGCCTTGAGCTCCAAACCTCTCCTCGGTATATATACTATACTATTCCCGACCATGTTGTATCTTTCATTTTTCATCAAACTCTCTTCTCAGTTTCTAGACCAGTACCTTGTCAGCTGGGCGAGCCGTGCTATTGATTAAATCATAATACTCTTTTTCGTCTACATTTGTGACCACAGAAAATAACATCGAGACTCTCTTCTCCAACTACGACACAAGCTTCTGAGATGGAGGCGCAGTGCGAAGAAAAACAGCCAACCACCCCTTCATCTGGAGATCTAAACCAGGATCACCCGAAAACTTCCAAGATCTCGCCTCCTACTTTAGCTCCGGCTCAGGATGAATGGGCTACTGGATTCAAGCTTTTCACTATAATGACAGCTGTCACGCTTGTGGCTCTTCTCATGCTGCTAGATACTTCGATTGTTGTAACGGTTAGTCTTAAAAAAACGGCGTGGTTTACATTTTATTTTACTGATGCTCAATCACAGGCAATTCCACGTATCACGAGCGAATTCCATTCTCTTTCCGATGTAGGTTGGTATGGTAGTGCGTATCAGCTTGCATGGTAAGCCCTTTCATTCTACTATTGCATACGCTGTATGACTGAACTCACCATAGCGCGGCACTCCAGCCACTCACTGGTAGAGTATATATGAATATGGACTCGAAGGTAAGATCGTGTACAATTCATGCACCTGTTAACCCTAAAGATTGACATTTTTGCAGTGGACTTTCATGGGCTTCTTCGCTGTTTTCGAAGTGGGCTCTTTGATTTGTGCCGTGTCTACCTCCTCAAGAAAGTTGATTGTTGGAAGAGCAGTGGCTGGATTAGGAACTTCAGGGATCTTGAACGGTGCTTTTACGATCATATCCGGGTGTGTCCCAATGTCAAGAAGACCAAGTATGATGTTCTATTCTGTATTGTTCCGTTCATGTGTTGCTGACTGAACTGAAGCTATGCTTGGACTTGTAATGGGCAGTGAGTTGCCACATTATGATACTGGATACGCAAGAATTGACCATTAGTACACAGTCTCGCAAGTTGGGTTGGCTGCCGGACCCTTGATCGGTGGAGCATTGACAGAATTTACCACCTGGCGATGGTGTGAGTGCAACCTTTTCTCTTTTCTTTTTCTTCTGATACAAGTTTTCATACATCTATCTGACAATTCTTTTCGGATCAGGTTTCTATATAAACCTCCCCGTTGGTGGTCTTGTTGCAATAATGCTCACCTTTATCCACATTCCTCAAACCCCAAAGGCCAAGTTCTCAGAAGCCATCAGAACACTTCCTGGTAAACTTGATCTTATTGGGTTTGCTCTTTTTGCGCCTTCCGCGATCCAACTTCTGTTGGCATTACAGTATGGTGGCAATGAGTTTACCTGGCACAGTTCCCAGGTCATCGGACTATTCTGCGGGGCAGCTGCTACTTTTATCCTCTTTCTAGTCTGGGACTATTGCAAGGGCGATGCAGCTATGATACCCTTTTCCATGATTCGTATCAGGGTTGTTTGGTCAAGCTGTCTTGCATACGGGCTCTTGATGGGCCAAATATTCTGTGCATCTTACTACCTGCCGATCTATTTCCAAGGAGTCAAGGGAGTCATTCCGCTCATGAGCGGTGTTTATGTTCTTCCAAGTATCCTGGGTCATCTATTTGTTGCTCTAGTTTCAGGGAAAATTGGTTCGTGGAGGCATCTGTCTTTGTTAGAAAAAGAAAAGGCCGTTGACAATGATTTAGTTGAGAGAGTGGGATACTATCTACCTATAATTGTGATTAGTGCATCACTAATGGTGGTGGCCAACGGCCTCTTATCCACACTTACTCCTTGGACTTCGACCGGAAAATGGATAGGATACCAAATCTTGCTCGGAGTCGCACGAGGCCTCGGCTTACAAGTGGTAAGAAATTTCCCCATCCATTCCTTAGGTGGGCAGTCACCGCTAACTCTGAGCCCTAGCCCATTATAGCTGTGCAAACTGCGCTTCCTCCTACGCAAATTCCCATTGCTACAGCATTGGTAATGTTCAGCCAAACCGTCTCTGGCGCTTTATTTCTCAGCCTTTCCGATACAATCTTCACCAACAGTCTCTCAGCCCTAGTTCCACAATATGCTCCATTAGTGAATCCCCAAACTATCATTAACGCCGGCGCAACTGGGTTCCGCTCTACTTTATCAGACGCTCAGCTAGCCGGTGTTCTGGTGGCGTACGCAAAGAGTGTTGATCGCGTCTTCTATTTGACTACAGGTATGGCTGGTGGATGTTTTCTCTTCTCGTGGGCAATGGGGTGGAAAGATATCAGGAAGAAGAATACTGTCTCAAAGGCTTGATGGATAGAAGATTTCCGCCAACAGAACATGGTAATTCGTCATTTGTGTGAAAGGTGCGAGGAAGTTGATACTTAGAATTGATGAACTGTAACGGAGAGCGAAATTAACTGTTTCCTATCTAAGATAAAAGAGCCAAAGGATTGTTTTGGCTAACGAACCTCGGTGCATTTATTTACGCTTGAGATCAGCCCGCAGCTTATCCTGTTGGGAATTCGGCCCTAGCTATGAGATCATCCGTAGAATACTTTACTAGGCTGACCTTTGATACCATCGGGGTGTGTAGTTTTAGTTCCCGGTTTATGAGTTCTACTGAGAGAAGCCGCACCCTTTTGCTCCACAACTCCAAGAGGCCTTCCATCCAGAAGTACAGAGTACGGAATAAAAGTTATCACACTATTCCACATATCCCAGGGGTAACCCAACAGGGACGGGGATAGTATTATCTCCGGGCCGAGGTTGATCAATGTCCCCGGACATTGTTGATCTTCCAGACTTGACATAATTCAAGACCTCAATAACTTCAAAATGGATACGACCTCATCGTCACTCCCTGACACGCCCACCCCATATGGGCAATCATGTGCCAACTGTTCTCAATCGAAACGCAAGTGTATCGTTCGGCGCGTCGGTGGACCGTGCGAGCGGTAGGATGTTCCACCCAAAATATCGATATTCAGAGATCGGAACTGATATTGATTAGGTGTTTCAAGACAAATAAAGAGTGCACTCCAGCTAAAACGACACGACGCCGTAATACCAAAAGAACAGCTGTCCCTTCTAAGACAACGCGACTCGAGGAAAAGATAGACAGCCTCGTATCAATGATGAAGGTGGGAACCCAGACTAGTACAGCGAGTCCCCCCGCAACGTCTAGTTTGCATGAAAGCATGTTTACCTGTGAGACGGAAACAAAGACTCCCATCCACAGTCCTTTTGAAAACGGAACAGGCCTGAACTGCCTTGGCGATGATCGTAACAACCCTGCACCACCGGCCACACAGGCTACCACGGACTCCTTAGATAATAATGAATCAAAAGCCGAGCCGTCTCGAATGGAAGCAGAGGAATATCTTACGAATTTTCAGACCTCGAAACTACAATATTTTCCTTTTGTGTACATTCCCTTCAAAACCAGCTCTGAACTTCTTCGAAAGGAGCGGCCATTTCTCTGGCTTTGCGTCATGGCGGTCAGCTCCAAGTCAACCGTGCAACAGCAGATGCTAGGTACCCGAATACGTCAAACAATAGGACAAAAAATGGTAGTCAACTCCGAAAAGAACATTGATCTCTTTTTGGGGCTTTTAACATTCATTGGTTGGTATGGTAGCTATCAATTCCCAAGTCAGACAAATGGACCAGTCTCACTGTCCTTTTTTTCCCACAGGGCAAACTATCAAGTTCACAATAAACCCTTTTTAGCTGTCTTCACCCAGCTCGCGATCTCCCTAGTCTTCGATCTCGGTCTGAATAAACCAGTCCCCGAAGAGACGTCTAGAACGTCTAATCTGCATAAGGTTTCTAGACCCTCGACGCCTCGAACAATGGAGGAGCGGAGAGCTGTTCTTGGTTGCTTCTTAGTAACATCGATGTATGAATAACCCCACTTACTGTGACTGATGCATACTTATGCAGTTTTAGAATATCTTCTTTCCTACAAAAGATCGATGCACTGCGTTGGACAACACATCTTGATGAATGCCTTGAGATACTAGATGCCCAGAAGGAATGCCTCAATGATGACATCCTGGTCCAACAAGTTCGATTACAGCTTATTGGAGCGGATGCCATTCGAAGCAAGGAGCATGAGCCTAGCAGTGCATTTATGGAGACAACAAGTACAGAGCGTTTTCTTTCCAAGTTAGATAATATCAAATCCGATATTTTTAATACTGCACCAAAGAATGGTAAGTGATTCGTCCCCACCGATTCACAACCTTACTAATATGACCGCAGTAATTTTCCTACATTTTTATAGCATTGAGCTAGAAACTGCCCTTTCGGCCATGTTGTTCTCATCCAATCAATCTGTAATATCGCAGGAAATGTTTCTTCGCACGGGATTGAAGTCGATTATCGCGTGGTTTGATGTGTTCTTTATGATCCCACCCATCGGTTACATTGGATTTCCATTTTCAATATTCTCACAGCTCGTTCGCAGCTTGACCACACTCTACCGATTTGCTACACTCGATGAATCAATGTGGGACAAATATCATGTTCGAAAAATAGCGAACCCACTGCTGATCTTGAATCGGGTGATTAGCAACTTTGAGCAAGTGCCAACTGTTGCTAAATTGGATAACTGTCACAGTGCGGAGGGAGACGTATTTTCACGTTCGACACGGATCTTTCGATCCCTTCGATCTGAATGGGAGTCAAAGTTAGGCCCGGGTAATGCAACGTTTCCGATCGTGCCTGCTTCACATCATGACGGAATTCCACTCTTCGATCCTCTAGGAGAACAAGTTCTGGATAACGACTGGTTCATGGAACTGCTGTCATCAAACCTCTGAAGTTACATACGAAACAACATGTGATATAAGGATAGCCAATGCAAATTTTGCAATGCTTTTAATTGAATGATGCGTCGATTCAGTCTCTTACGTCGGTATTTTCCGCGTCTATGGCCCCTTATCACAATACACTTGCACGCGTAAATTTCTTGCCTATTCGATGAGGTAGTACTATATAAAGGGGTATAGCGCTCAGAATTAGAGTCGCAGGGGAGTCTGTGTATAGTTCCGAAAAGAACAGGTCACTTAGTTATGCCAAACTACATTTCATGAACACTACGGAGTACAGAACTCATTTACAACGTCAATCGGTCCTGCTCCCTGTGTGAAAGTGAGTCAAATTCTGTCTGATGGCCCCCTGAGTGGGATGACCCCAGTGCCATTGTACTTTGTATTAATATCGGTTGTCGATCGCAATTCCAACTCGCATCTATCCAAATCCCCCAATAACGGGGGCCATTCACGCTATTTTGAACCATACTACTCCGTAGCAGACCTTGGGTTGAAATCGAACCCATAAACACTTAGGTATCTCGATTATTAGCGGACCCTTACATGGCTTTTTTTTGGCTGAATGAACACCTGGATATACGGAGTACTGATGATCAGATAGATATGTGGGCGCGTGTTAGGCCGGACAGTCTCCGACCTTTCCCCGTCGCCCGCCTCTGGGGGTCGCTGAATGGTTTGATGTAGGTATGTGCCCTGTGACTTTGATAGGGGCAAGGGTAAGGTTCCTGCGCTGTATGCGGAGTACGGAATCCCTTTTTTGCGTTTGAATAATCTATTCCATACAGTGGGTTGCCTAAGATGGGGATGGATGTGCAGACCTCGTTCAGGAATTTTGCCTATTTATTCAGCAGACGAGCGCTGCAAATTTCCCCTGGAATCAAGCTGTTTGATTTGGAGCTGTGCTCTCAGTCTTGGTCCTCCAATATGCCCGCTTTTCTATCTTTCCTATGTCTTCTCTCCTTCTCATTGTCAACAACAGCCTTTATCCACCCTGGGGCGCTTCACACCGCGGGAGATTTCGAGCGTATCCAGAACCACATTGCGAACAAGGATGAACCTTGGAATACTACCTGGACTTTATTGACTACGAACAATTTTGCCCAGTCCACCTACCAGCCTAGCCCCAAAGATACGGTGTATCGAGGTGACAACGGCGTCAATGGGCAAAACTATGCGTCCCTGTACAAAGACACTGCAGCCGCGTACCAACTTGCCATACGCTGGAGAACCTCTAACGATACGAGCTATACAGACGCCGCGGTCAATATTCTGAGTTCCTGGGCCGTCATACTGACAGCCATCGACGGCACCAGCGACAAATTCTTGGCCTCTGGTCTTTATGGTTACCAGATGGCCAATGCGGCAGAACTCATGTCTGATTATTCCGGCTGGGACAGCAGTAACAAAACTGCTACTGCAACCATGTTGACGAATGTATTCGCCTCGATGAACATGCGGTTCTTGGAAGAACATAACGGTCAAGACAATTATCACTACTACGCCAATTGGGATCAATGTAATCTCGCATCTCTCCTTGCTATCGGTATCTTCACCGATAATCAGACCATGTACGACTACGCGTTGGACTATGTCCGCACAGGGCCTTCAAACGGGGCTCTTCCTGTTTTTGGGATTGCCAATTACACGGAATCTGGCTCAGACAAGGTCCTGACACAAGGACAAGAAGCTGGTCGGGATCAGGGCCATTCGACACTGGACATTGTGCTTCTTGGTGTCATAGCCCAACAGGCATTTAATCAGGGAGATGACCTCTTCGCCGAACACAGTAATGAAATTCTCAATGCGTCAGTATTTTAAAAAGGAAATACCGTTGGCTTAAGATAATTATTGACTGAGGAATCTAGGGCCGAATATGTCGGAAAGTACAATGTTGGCTACGATCTGCCCTACACTCTGTACGGAAGCTACCAGGGAAATCAGACTGTTATTTCAAACGCTGCGCGGGGAACTGTTCGTCCCGGTTTCGAACTTCTCTCTGCTCATTACGGCCAGCTAAAGGGCCTCAACTCGTCTTGGACAGATGCCTACCGTAACTGGGTAAATGCGAATTCCACAGCCGGTGTTGAGGGTGGTGGTGGAAATTATGGCTCGATGTCCGGTGGCTTTGATGTGCTTGGGTTTGGCTCTCTGTTATGTCGAATACCATGGTTGAATACCGCAGTCGAATACATGGTCGAATATAGGGTCTGTGGTCTTCCTTTCTTCCCATTATGTAGTTCTACAGCTTCCATACAATATTGTGGCTTCATAATCTCATCTACTAGCGCGTATATTCAAACTTGCTATTCTAGGACGGCATCTTATTGACAATGAAAAAGCCCTTCATTTCTGTCTCACTTTAGGGGCTCTCTCTGTCCTATGAACCGAAAAGGGTCAGTGGAGAAGGGGGTTGTTCCAATTTGCCATGCGAGTGCCTTCATATCTTGTGGACTTCTTTTCTTCGCTCAATTGCCTTTTGAAATCCACAAGCTCGTTCAATTTAGCCAACCATGCGGGCCATACCTCATTTTCAATTTGAAGTTCCCGACGAAGGTGTGCAATCTTCTCGAACAATACCCGCGCCTCCTTCCTCCTATCCAAAGTCATAAGTGATCTCCAAAGCAAATATTGTGATTCCAAAAGGTGTATGTTGTGGGTGCCATGCTTTTCGCTCACATCTTTCACATCATTCCGGAAGTATATCAGTGCTTCCTCTTCTTGACCTGCCCGGCTATAAAATTCCAGGAGGTTAGATTTCCAATTCACACCCTTTATATATGTTTTAGTCGCAATTGCCTTCTGGAGAAACTGAGCTGCCATCATCCAATCCTCGCTCAGAGAATAGCAATCAGCTAGCGAGGCCAACGCGTAGGCCTCCCCTTGAGTGGTTGACCCAGAGAGACTCTGGCTCTGAGATATCACATCTGTGAGCATTTTCACTGCATCCGACTGCATGTTGAGATCACGGCCCAGCAAATCTCCGAATACGTATTGTGTGAGGATGCGTTTCTCCTGAGTCACAAGTGGATTTTTGCGTTGCACTTTCAAAGCCTGGCGCACGAATGAAATGGATTCATCTTGGCGACCCTGCCGGAACAGAGTTTCGGCGAGCATCACATTGACCGTGAAATCTCCGGTAGCTCTCCGTGATATGTGAGCTTCGTGAAAGACGAGTTCTGCCTCTTCATATCTCCCGTGGAAAAATAACGCAAACCCTAGGCAGCATTGAAAATCGCCATAGCTTGGATGGGATGGGAACTGTTCTATAAGGGTGCACGCAAGAGGGATCGTGGCTGTCCAGTTCCCCCGCGCAACTTGATGGCGCAGCTTGTCCACTTTGGGTGTCTTTGCATCATAGGCATGCCTCTTCAGCCATATTGTAGCCCCTAAATACAAGGGGCCGGATACCGGGCTAGCTCTAAAGTCTTCGTTGGGCCGCCCAATACCACCAACCCTAATGCATATTATTGGTCGTTCTTGTACTGAAGATTTCGAGTCTGCATCGCTAGAATCGCTAACAACATAACCATCGTCAGTTGAGTATGACCAGGGTTGGTTTGCAAGTTTTGCTCTGGACTGAGCTTCACCAGAATGCTCAATGAATATGGAGACCGAGGGTTTGTTGTCAGAGTCAATTTCCGAGGCCTGCTTTTCACTGTATACAAATCTATTGTAAGGTACAGCAGATAGTGTGGATGTGAATGGTGCTTCTTTGATTGGCACAAAGCCTGCCTCTTTGGGCTGGGTTGAATCAATAAAACCCCGGGCTCCCGAGGCCAAAGAGAACTCGTCAGAAACGACTTTGGAGGTCTCTTTTTCGCCGAATCTTGAACCACTTATAGGCAAAGTGGGTGATTTGAGTGCAGGATTAATGCCATTTCTTATTGGTATCGCCGTTGCATCCCCGGGCGATTTATCAAGAAAGCCCCAGGTCCCAGACGCTGAAGAGGATCCGATTTCAGAACGGGCTTTTGATTTCTCCTTCTCACTGAGTTTGGAGCCACTCGCAGGCAAAGGGGGTGATTTGGATGTGGATGTGGAACTGACTTCCTCAATTGGTTTCAATAAGGAAGAACTCTCTCGATATGCCCTCAGCCAGGAATGTTCCAAGGAACAATACGCATTCAAACGGTCTTCTGGTTTGGGCGCAATTGTCTTTTTTAGAAAGTCCACACAATTGGCACCAGTCTTGTGGTCGTCAATAGCAGATTCTGGGAACTTGGCCTGACCTCGTCCATATTCAATAACATCGATAGTGCCTAGAAATGGCCGCTTTCCGGTGAGCATATAGAAGACAATGACGCCAAATGACCAGATGTCAACAGCGCTGGTATAACGAGTTGTTCGCTCGTTTGAATCAAAGTATTCAGGTGCAGCCCACAAAATTGTTCCGGCTTCTGTACGAAGGGACGTCAAATCCCCCAAAACCTGTTTGCAGAGTCCGAAATCACCGATCTTGATTCTCCATGGTTGAAAGCTTACGACCAGCAGATTCTACAATTTCACGGTTAGATACGTCTCTAACTCGGTGACCTCACATCACAGCAAAGGGTTACTTGCCGCTGGCTTCAAGTCTCTATGCGTAAACCCTTCGGAATGCATGAAATAAAGTCCCTCCAAGATCTGGACGGCAATCTGCTGTGCCTCCAAAACAGGTAGTGGTTTGCCCAAGCGCTGCAAGTGCTGCCCAAGGTCACCGTTCTTGAAATACTCCATAGCAATGAAAACGGTGTCATCGGTGTGGAACCAACCATACGACTCGACGAAAAAATCGTTGTACTATCAGTGTGTCGTGAGCCATTAGCACAAGCAACCATTGCGCGAAAGGCACTAAACACCCACACCTTTTCTTGAGAGAAGTTGACGATCGCTTTGAGCTCGCGCTTGTATGTTTGATTCTTGTATGTTTGATCCGTCACCCCACTCTTTGGAATCTCTTTCACTGCACGGAACTTATACTTGGCTGGCTGCCCAACTTCGGAGGTCTGTGGAATTTTAAGGACTTCAAGAAATACTTTCCCGAACCCACCCACTCCGATTCTCTTTTCTCTTCTCCACTGCTGAACCGTAGTCTGGTGTTCTCCATCATGACTCAGATCGAGGGAAACGTGGATGGTATAGGGATATTGGAACCGGTGAAAGAGTTTTTTCTTCTCAACCAAGTCTGTGAAAGTATCCATCCTGAGACTTGATGGGAAAAATCAAGAACCAAGGATAATAACCTACACTAAAGCCAGGAAATCAAAAGGTAACCACGCGGTTGTCCCCCGCTCGTACTGGCCAGGATTCAACACCAATCAGATGGGGTCTGTGAGCAAGGCGTTCGAGCTACTAAGTCCGTAATATCTTGGCTGCATCTTAGCGTCACCCATCACCCATCAGCCCCAATGAGCACCGAAGCGTCATGGAGGGGCTAATCTGCTGAAGTCCGGATATTGAAGGAATTTTACAGATGCAGCACTGCATCTTACCCCTGATGTTCGGATAATTCTTGACTTTGCCAAATATCTTCTTAAGCGCCCTGATGCTTTGCGGCCTCCTCGGGGACCATCCGGGGTAGGTATAAAGGGGTATAAAGGCTGCTAGCTTCTCCAAATGCCCGAGGCTTAGTGCATGCTGCAGGTGTTCAAAATAAGTTAGCACACGGCCCGAAAAAGATATATATAGGGAGAGAGAGAGCTGTTTCCAAATGCTCACAATTTATTGTTGGCAATCTTCTAACTTGCACAGATATCCTAATGTCTGGTGTGGAATTAGGCTTAGCTGTGCTTGCCACAGCTGATCTCTGTTTAAAGCGAGTATCTCATACAGTCCTAGACATCCCTGAAGTTAACTGACACGTTTTAGATATGGAAATTTATTGGTAGAGAAATATCGTACCTTCAAAGGAGCCGAATCGGAAATCGACGACAAGATTCTTTCCATCGAACTTTTTCAAATGAAAACCGAGTGCCAGATGGACTTCCTCAAAACTATATGGCATACTCTGCCCTCCAGGTATCAGGACTGTCTGGGTCTCATATATCCCAAGTTGCAAGAAAGGCTGCAAATTGCCAACCAAGCTGTTGAGAAGATATTGAGGAAACACGCGGACGAAGATTCTATGGGCTGGTCAAAACGCTTGTTTTACACCATGCATCTCAAAGAAACCATCGAGAGAACAATCGAAGATGTAAATGAGTGGCAGAAGATCTTCGAGCCCACATGGTTTTTAGTCATGAGGGTTTCAGACTCGGTGGTCGATACTGAGCTCCATCGCAATGCCCAATCTTCTTCAGCTCTCACCCCAAGCTACCATCTCCGAAATTCCTTGAAGAATGAAGCCAATGAAGACATGCGACTATCTCTATCAGCAAAGGCCCTTGAAGGTGCACAGCGTTCAAATATCAAATTCTCTGAGGCCTCTATTGTTTTTATTCCAGGAAAACGACCTATTATCATCGACTCAGCAGAATGCCAGACGTCCAATATATCAGCACTCACTAAGGATGTTCGTTACCTAGCGCAGAGGCTTCGAAATGTCGACCCACTCGTCTTCCAAATCCTCAACTGTGCAGGTGTGATAGATGTCAAAGCCACTTCTCAGCATGTACCCCGTTTTGACTTCGTCTTTCAGGTCCCCAAAGGCATGGGACAACCACAGAGCTTACGAGAACTGCTTGTCGCAAGCCGTCAAACTTACCCCCTCAGCGACCGAGTGCGTATCGCAAACCAGCTTGCGAAATCCGTCAGTTTCGTCCACATGTACAGTTTCATACACAAGAATATCCGACCCGAGACCACCATTGTCCTCCAAGACGGAGAGTCCGAACTAGGCTCACTTTTTCTGACTGGTTTCAAAATCTCCCGCATGGTGGGCGAGCAATCGGGGCGACTGGGAGACTCGGACTGGGCAAGAAACATCTACCGTCATCCACAGCGTCAAGGTCTATATCCCGAGCAGGACTATCGCATGCTGCATGACATTTATAGTCTCGGTGTTTGTTTGCTGGAAATCGGACTCTGGGAATCTTTGGTCCAATACGAATATTCCTCGGATCACCTGGAGATGTACCCCAACAAAATCTTTCAAGCTAATGGTTCCAGCGTACCAAATGTGAATGCCAGTAAAGCACTGTTCATGCAACTCGCCAAAAGCGTGCTCCCAGCTAAGATGGGGAAGTTGTATGCGCAGGTTGTGTTGACTTGTCTGACCTATTGTGACGAGGAGCAGGATGCTATAGTTGAAGGTGTGAGATACATCGAAAGAGTAAGTGTGGGTCTTCTGGTCTAATGGCACGTCGCTGACTGGAAATAGATATTGATGCGATTGGGGGAAATATCAGTCTAAGCCACATGAGTTGGCCACTGGATACAACTCCCATGCTAGATGTGATACAAATTGACATATATATTAGTACGGAAATGTATTGTAACCACATTATAACGAGAGTTTTAACGGAAATGCTAATATTTCCATCATTCAATTCAACTTGGCAGCTTGCGATTTATATAATTGCCCAGTTGGAGGTACTTCGGAGACAAATAGTGCAAACCAGTCACGTAATATAGCACGTGACTCTATCGCCGATGTCGGTCTTCATATTTTATACCTCAGTTCATCCATATATATATGTACTCCGTACGGAGTAAGAATACAGTCTGTGAAAAGAGCAATTGGATCTACGGAGAGGACGAAGTCTTTGACTTCATATCTACATTGTATATATGCCCTTGAGAGAAAGAATATACCATACTATACACCTTTGTATATGTCGATCAACCCCGCCATTTCTACTTTGTACGTTGATCTCGAATTGATTAGATCTTACAATTGGAATGCGACATGCCTAGGTAAGCCTGTGATATGCCTATAATACGTATTTAGTCAGTAAACCCCATTTAGAGAAATTATTTTGCATCTTCAACTTCCAAGATAGTGACTCAATAGCCCATAGCGAATTGACTCATACCCCGCCATTACCAGGATTGACCTATAAAACAGTCAATTCACCTTGTAAACATAGATCCGGTCAATATATTTGGCTACACATTGAAATTCCAGTAAATCCTGGCATTTGAACATATAAATAGCTATATCTCTTACTTTTCCTGCAAGGTTCCACCGCGGTCCACACTTTGAGGTTTTTCTCTCCCGCTTCTCTCTTTCTCTTTTACCTCAATCCACCTCAATTAATCACATCATGCCTTCCCGACAAGAAGTCTCCTACTTTGGAGCTGGTCCAGCTCCCCTCCCGACTGCAGTCGTAGAGGCCGGCGCAAAGGCATTCGTCAACTTCAACGATACCGGACTCGGACTCGGCGAGATCTCGCACCGCTCCCCCGCCGCCAACAAGATCCTCAACGATGCCAAAGCGAACCTCTCCGCTCTCCTCGATATCCCTGATAACTATGAAGTCCTGTTCATGCAGGCTGGAGGAAGTGGCGGGTTCAGCTCTGTCGTGCAGAACCTGGTCTCTGTCTGGATTGAGCGCCGCCGCCGCAGGGCCGAGGCCGACGTGAAGAAGGCCCAGCCCAGTGCGGAACAGGCCCAGGTTGACGAATTAGTCTTCCAGAGACTCCAGAAGGAGGTCGATGAGGAACTGAAGCTGGATTACCTCGTGACTGGATCTTGGTCGCTTAAGGCTTCCCAGGAAGCGAGCAGACTGCTCGGCTCGAAATACGTGAATATTGCTCTTGATGCTCGCAAGGCCAACGATGGGAAGTTTGGAAAAATTCCCACTGAGGATTCTTGGTCCTTGACTCCTACCAAGAAGGAGGGCGGCAAGGGATCTGCGTTTGTCTACTTCTGCGACAACGAGACCGTCGATGGTGTCGAGTTCCAGCAGTTCCCCAAGTCATTGGAGGCTCAAGGTCAGGATCCTGAAGATGAGCGTCTCGTCATCGCCGATCTGAGCTCCAACTTCATCAGCCGGAAGGTTGATGTCAGCAAACACGCTGTCATTTTCGTACGTTGACTTAAATCCCTACGCGTTATAAGAGCAGTACACTAACACAATATATGCAGGGTGGTGCACAGAAGAACATCGGTGTCGCTGGTATCACCATTGCCATCGTTCGCAAGGATCTCCTCCCTCCCCACACCGCGACTCCCCCCCCTGCTCTCCTCCACCGGTTGAATCTCGGCGGTCTCCCCGGCCCAATCGTTCTCGACTACGCAACCACCGCAAAGAACAATTCTCTCTACAACACCCTCCCTATCTTCAACCTCTGGATTGCGGGTCAGGTCATGGCTGACCTTATTGCCGAGTTCGGCGCTCAAAAGGTCAGCGGCCAAGAGGAAGTCGCCAACAAGAAGGCGCAGCTTATCTACGGCGCTTTGGACAAGTTCCCGCAAGTGTACCAGGTTGTTCCTGATGTTAGCGTCCGCAGCCGTATGAACATCTGCTTCCGTGTCAGCGGCGGTGACGATGTAAAGGAGAAGGAGTTCATCGCTGGCGCAGAGAAGCGCCTTCTCCAGGGCCTCAAGGGCCACCGCAGTGTAGGTGGTATGCGCGCCAGCAACTACAACGCGGTTCCATTGGAGAACGTGCAGAAGCTGGTGAAGTACCTCGAGGACTTTGCTACAACACAGTAGATTGCGTTTGGAGAAAACATCGGTGTTTGAGCGAATTCAACCTGGGGCTTTGGGCCAGGAATGTGTGATGGGTAACGAAATAGGACGCTAGAATGTGTCCAGGACAGTTGCGACTGTGTATTCAACATAACTCCCAGTATATCCATACTATATATATGCTTTAATGACAAAAGGATTCCGATATTGATACAAAAGTGGTCCAAAAGCCCAAGAGAAAGTAGTCAGAGCTTCCACACACCCCAGTCTTTGAGATCAAGTTCCTTGATTACTCCTTTCAGGGGGCCCTGGAGTTCCTGGCCTTGTGCCCACAGCTTGGGCCCAGCCATGTAACTGATGAACCCCTCAGGACCGGAAACCAAAATCAACTTGCTCTTGCTCTTGCGAGAGTCACTTGTCGACGCTGGTGCAATGGCACCTCGGATATCTTCCTTTGTAATGAACGTGTTTTCCTCGTCCAAATAGTAATCCACAGTGACCTGCCCGGGATACTGGGACTTGAGCGCCTCTAGCTCTCGCACAATAATAGAACTTTCTTCTGTTCGCAAAACATCCACAGCATTTTCCGATGTGGTTTGCTGACTCCTCGACGAGCCAATCCACCCAGAGAACCAGCCCCGGCGTGGCTGCGGCTTCAGCGAGTCACTGTGACCACCAGCGCAGTCATCCTTCAACCGATTCGCCCACAATATATGGATCCTCGGCCGACGCTCAGTATGCTTGCGATTCAAAAGAGAATACGCAGCCTGCAGAGCAGGCGCAATCCCCGTCCCCCCAGCAATGAAGAGTATGTCCTCCGTTTCCTTCGGGATCGCGCATTCGATCTTGGGTCCACGCATCTCAACGTCAGCGCCTACATCGATGTTATGCAGGTAGCGCGACACCTCTCCAAATGGGTCCTTCCGAATGAAGAACCGCAGGCATCCCTCATTTTCGTCGTCGACGCTTAGCGATGTCGCCGCCGTCGTGGGCAGCGGCGTGTAATCTCGTCCGATTTGTAATTGTGGTTGTTTGAACATCACACTCCAGACTCCTGTCTGCCACGCTTCCTCGTAGACATCGTAGTTGCTGTCGCTGGGTTTGCGTGGTCGCAGCGTGAAGAGGCTGCTGGTTGCTGATACAGGCTCGCGTGATACAAGGCTGTATTTGGTAAATGTTTCAGGGTTCAAGGTTGCGGAGGATATGTTTTGAGATCGGATATAGGCGCCTGCACCTGCTGCTGTTGCGCCCACGAAGACGATGCTTAGCCAGCGGCGCGAGTTGGAGTTGGAACGGGAGGATTTCGGTGACGTTGAGGTTGCCGAGGTTGAAGCATAGCGTACAGGTCGAGCTACAGCTCCAAGACCTTGGCTGCTTCTCCAGCATAAAGAGGATAATTTGTTCATGTGGAAGTGCAATTGAAGAGAAAAAGAAATCGCGGGGGGCGGAAATTCAAAGGTCGAGGCCAAGAGAGAGCCGATTGGGCGATCGACAAGAAAATGCACCCCCTTGGCGGTTTCTTCTTCTTCACTTCAACGCACTTTGGAGATTTCTCCTCTCTACGGACTTCTCATTCTCGACATTCTCGATATTCTCTTCGGGCAATGGAGACTCCCCTTGGCCACTCCTGACGACATACCTTTCCGCCATCCTCTCTCTCTCCTTGACGACTTGTACACGCTGGACACAAAGAGAATATGTCGAATACATATCAAGGCAACAGGAATGGCAGTCTCGCCGCGCCTCGAGATTCACTAGAACTCGCCTCCCTCGCATCCTCATCCCCCGGCTCCGTAGGCGGGTCCTCACGCTCCTCTTCCCCCGACGGCATCTCCTCATCCCGCAAGCTCTCCCTCGAGGACGAAGATCCACTCGCAGAATCGCACACAGATGCCGAGCTAGGAACAGGCCGTCACAGAGCTCAGAGCTCATATTCTATATCCTCTGCTTTCGATTTCGGGGGCACTCTATTCCCGCTATCGCAAACACAAGGTGGCTACGCGCCCCTAGGTACTCCGTCCGCGGACAGACCAGGGTTCACAGATGGATCGCTGGAGCGGAATAAAACATTGACATACCTGAATGGGCTGTCGCTCATCGTCGGGCTAATTATTGGATCTGGTATCTTCTCATCGCCGAGTCAGGTCAATGCCAACGCGGGGTCGCCGGGCGCCTCTCTCATCGTTTGGGCGGTGGCTGGTCTACTGGCCTGGACGGGAGCTGCTAGCTATGCAGAGCTTGGAGGGGCGATTCCATTGAATGGAGGCTCGCAGATATATCTGTCCAAGATCTTTGGAGAGCTGACCGGCTTCCTTTTCGCATGGTGCGCCGTGTTGGTACTGAAGCCTGGGTCTGCAGCGATCATCTCTCTCATCTTTGGCGAGTATGTCGTTCGTGCATTTGTGGGCGCTGATGTGGGTGACGTCAACCCTTGGATCAACAAGGGTGTTGCATTTGGAGGGCTTGTGGCAGTGACTCTGCTTAACTGTATCTCCACCAAGTTTGCTACCCGCATTGGTGACTTCTTCATGTTCTTCAAGTTCGTTGCTCTGCTAGGTGTCACTGTCATCGGCATTATAGTTGCTGTGACTGGCTTCTCAGCTGGAGGAAACGCAAATGAAGAATGGAAGACGACAGGATGGTTCGAGGGAACCAACACCGAGATCTCTGATTTTGCAGTGGCCCTGTATGCAGGTCTCTGGGCATTTGACGGCTGGGATAATGTGAGTTGACACTCAACTATTCCTAAAATACTTCTACTCACATATTGCAGACCAACTACGTGACAGGCGAATTCAAGAACCCAAACCGCGATCTGCCTCGAGTCATCCACACAGCGATGCCACTGGTCATCCTCTCCTATCTGCTGGCCAATGTCTCATATTTCCTCGTTCTCCCTCACTCCACCATTGAAGCAAGCAACACCGTCGCAGTACAATTCGGCGCAAAGGTATTCGGCGCCGCCGGAGCCCTGATTCTAGCTCTCGTCGTCTCAGCCAGCTGCTTTGGAGCCCTCAACGCAACCACCTTCACAAGCGGCCGGCTAGTCTATGCAGCCGGCAAGGAAGGCTATCTCCCCTCGATATTCGGCCGCATCGGTCTCCACGCCGCCCCCTCGCAAGGCCCTCCAGCAAGCAGCCGACTGCGTCGCCGCTCCTGGGCCCGCAAGTCCCTCTCCCGTCTCTTCGGCGATGATTCCAGACTTGGCTTCACGCCGATCTATGCCATGGCTTTTAACAGCGCCCTGACTGCCATCTACATCGTCGTCGGCGAGTTCGGCACCCTCGTCACTTTCTACGGTGTAGCCGGATACACCTTCTACTTCCTCACCGTTCTCGGCCTGATCGTCCTCCGTATCCGTGAACCACTGCTGGAACGTCCCTACCGCACCTGGATCACCACACCCATTATCTTCTGTTGCGTTAGCTTGTTCCTCCTCAGCCGGGCTGTTATCTCCGAGCCCCTGCAAACTCTGATCGTCATCGCGTTCATCATCACCGGCGTCCCCGTATACTACTGGCGCATATATCAACGAGATGGTCGAATCGATGTTCCCAGTTGGAAATTCTGGAAGCGCGGTTCCCAATAAGTTCAGGGTAGCTCGTCGCCCGCTCTCATCTTGTTTGCTCTTATGATTGTGATACCCATGCATATATAGCTGGGGTGTATGGTACGAAGTGAAAGCCGTCTTTGGTGTTTGTGTGTGTGTTCGCGCTTGCAATGGAAGCCTTTTTGGCGACGATGTGATGACCATGGCTCTAGGCGGATGCATTTTTGATTGCTTCATCTTCTTGCTGGTTTCATGATGCCCCACGCCGCGTCTGCTTCTACCCTGTTTTATTACTAAGATCTAGTGCGCTGCATACTACATGTGGTGCATACTATACATAATGCTCATAATATTTGCATATTGCAATTCATCATACTCCAAGACCATCCCAGATAGAAGCTTGCACGAGAACTGCAGCTGGCTGTTCATCATCCGCTTCAGCATCCGACTCTGCGAAGAATAGTGGTCCGAAGCAACGATCTCCTGGGTGGTAGATTCGTGTAGATATGACCGTTCTGTTGTTGGCAAACACTTCTAACACACTAGAGTCTAAGAAGGCGTGTACTCGAAGCGTTTCTTCAACCTCTTCGCCACGCTCGTTCAAGAATGTAAATAGTGTGTGCGGAGCGGTTTCATAGCCGTGGTTTACTTCGGCGTTATCAATCAGAGGCCGGTGGATTTCGAAGGTCTCACTTCGTGGATTCCAGGAAAGAGTCGTGCAGACTTGACCATCTAGAGGAATGAGTATCAGTATATATAGACGATAGGCTTAGAGAACCAGAATCAAAGACTTACCAGAAGTGTGTGGAATCTTGATACCCACACGAGCACACGATTTGCTAACGGAAAATTCGGCGTCGATTTCCCATTTAGATGTTCTCAATATCACAGGACCTTGTGAAGGTGATGTGGACAAGGCAACGCCAGCGAACTGACTCTCCCGAGCGTTTTGTCTCAGCCGAGTAAGTCGGCTATCTGGGCTGATCTTCATGGTATGGATCGTGGAGGTACCGATACCAGGTGCATCGGGGACTGCATCGATTGAAGTAATTGAACTCAACTGCGAGATTCGTGCCTTCTTAACATTTTTCAATGTCATCAATCCCACCACACGAGGAAGTGAAACCAAACCGCTGAATCCTTGGCGATGACGCAGAGAATCAGACAGATCTTCTTCCGTGATCCAGCCATAGACGATATGTTGCGAGGTTTGAGGGTCGTAGAACGAGTTGGCTGCATAGTAGCAACCGTGATCGAAGATACCAGAGAATCCATATGAGGCTAGGGGACTATCTATGGAGGTAGATTTCTTTTCTCCGTTAGATTTGATAGACATCCAGAGCTGAGCTCGGGCTACTCGTCTCCGACGTGCTTCTTGAATCCCGTCTTGGTTCGAATCATCCGGCGGCACACAACCCTCAGCTCCCATGATGATGAAGTCCCGAGACGTGCCAGTGTCATTGGTCAGTGTCATCAGGTTAACAACTTCCCAGTTCACACCGTAGTCGCCAGACCAGCGAGATGGTCGTAGATTGAGACCGACGTCGATCAATGGGCCAATGAAATCCCACTTGGTGAGATCCGTTGCTTGTACAGTATAGACAAAGACTGTTGGGCTTTTCTTGCAAATCCCTCCTGATATAAAGCCATATAGTGTTGACGGTGTGTGTTTGAAAAAAGGTCCATTAGCCCAAGTTGTGAGCCAGGGATCTCTCCAGCCCGTGACGTTAAGATGTGAAGGCGGGCCAGTGAGGACCGGGTTGCAGTCCTGGCGTTCCCAAGTCTCGCCTCCGTCTTGCGAGACAGCTAAACTGAGAGTCTCACTTCCGACTGTGTATGGTAGGGTATAATGAATCGGGAGATGTCTCACGGAGGTGTATATGATTGTGAGGGCTCCCGGCTGTCCGGAGATATCGGTTGGCTGTAGACATCCCGTAAAGACGCCGAGGCGATCATATTCAGCAGAGGGTGCCAAGATGGGATCGGTGGATGTCTTCCATGACACCAGGTCTAGGGATGTAGCATGGCCCCAGGACATATTGCCCCAATCATTCCCATGCGGGTTCCATTGAAAACTCAAATGATATAACCCTGTTTCTGGGTCAAATCCCAATCCAGAAGGGTCATTCATCCATCCTGCTGGTGCTGTGACATGGAATGATGGTCTCCATTGTGAAGGGTTCTGAAGTAATTTCTTCTCTTCATGAGATTCGTCATTAACTTCATGGGTTTTGCAAGGAAATTGCCCGGCGTTTTGCTGATGTTTGAGTGTAAGCATGTCCAACTCTGTGATGACAGGAGCAGACATCTTTGATATTGGATTTGATGCAAAAATTAAAAAAAAAAAAACTTGGACGAGTCGTCGCCGAACCAGGTGGGGGATGATGATATACTTCCAGAGTCTATCACCGTTCAAATTTGGCCACTTCCACCAAAACACGTGCAGTATTCCCTGAGAGGTATACCCTGAGACTTCAAAAGTACAGTCCGAGGAGATAATTCACAGAAAACAGAGATGAAATGTTGTAAAGGCCTTGATCTTCAAGAAGGATTTCCCGATTCGGGAATTAATCGGAAATAGTTTCGGCATTTGCAGGAGGATTGTCGGGGAAATGCAAGAAACCCCAAAGAAACCCCAATTAAACTGGCAAATGAGTTAATGAGCTGATGATCAGATGGGGTAATGGAGTATATACTTTGTAATGTCGATATATATAGTTCATGAGGATGCATCATTTTAGTCCCAGGCATTTCCAGGGTCCTCGAGGAAATCTCGGAGAAACTCACCAAACAAAAAATCCGGGGGGTAACTTTTTTGGAAGGAAAATCCGGGGGGGGATCCGGGGAACTTCTCCCTTTCCCCTTCTCCCCTGATGTTCATATCATCCATATCATCCAAACATATCCAAACATATCCAATATGAATCGATATAAAGTATAAAGTATAAATTCCATATGGAAGTGTGTCTTCGAGGGTGTGGCCTCAAACGCATCATGTCTTTCAAGTGTCCCTCGACTGAAACACAACACGTCGACTACTCAGACGCGACCTCGCGTCCAAAGTCCCAAGCTATCAATGCCCGGTTAATCTTCGCCTGTACAATATTTGGTGCCGCGTCCTTCTTGTTTGGATTCGACGACAAGATCATTTCTCCTGTTGCTGCATTACCGGGTTTTGTGGGTGTTGCAAAATCGTAAACAGGTGATCTAAGCTGATTCCAATGCAGGTTGAGAAATTCCAAGGACCTAACCCAGTCACTGGAAAATATGTCCTCACGGCTCGCAATCAAAATCTGGTCTTCTCTCTTCCATTGGTGGGATCCGTCATCGGAGGTCTGCTTGCTTCGCCAATGAATTTCCACCTGGGTCGCAAATGGCCATTGATTGTTGCATATATCATCTCGGTGGGTGGCGGATTGCTGCAGGTCTTTGCACCGAATTTTGGGGCCTTTGTGGGAGGTCGTTCTATCAATTCGGTTGCCTTGGGTATCATAAATGCAACTGCCCCTTTGTATATCTCCGAGGTATTGATCCTTTACCGCTTGTTCGATGTTCAATCTCGCTTATCCTTACTCTTAGGTGGTTCCCACCTCTATACGCGGAAGATCTGTCAGTTCAATGAACATTTTGAATCTAACGGCTGGCGTGGTAGGTACAGCGGTGGTATTCAGAACGGAAAAGATCCATGGGACTCTATCGTACCAGATCCCAATGGCTGTACAGTGTGTTCTGCCTGTGCTTCTTCTTTTCCTAACAGTGTCTCTTCCAGAAAGTCCACAATGGCTGGTTGGGAAGGGAAATATAGCAGACGCTCGACACAGTCTACGGAAATTACGTGGGTTCAGCGACGACGAGGTTGAAGATGAACTCCGTCTCATGAGGCTGTCTGAAGAAAGGGAGCGCCAGCTACACGCCCAGACCAAGTTCTGGCACATATTCCAGCGACAGCACCTCAAGCGTACCCTGACTGCCGGCTCATTCTTCTCTCTTAATCAAATATCAGGCATCATTCTTTCATCCACATATACAACTGTCTTCCTTACAGAACTGGGCATTGCAGATGCCTTCGCCCTCACAATCATTTCATCCTGCTGCACATTAGCCGGCACTATTGCTGCACCCTTCGTCATCGACCGTGCCGGTCGACGTCCCACGGCATTCATCGGAATGGGGATTCTGTTCATAATTGACGCCGTGGCCGGTGGCCTAGCCTTCGACAGAGGCAATAAGAAAGCCACTATGGGAATTGCCGCCTTGTCCTTTGTATTCAATTTCTTCTGGGCAGCTTCCTTTTTCTCGTTGTCGAACGTCATGCCCTCCGAAATGGCAACCCCTAAACTCCGCCACCACACCATGGCCTACACGATTGCTTGTGCACAAACAACTGCCGTTATCACGACTCTCGCTGTTCCGCAGTTGACTTCGGCGGATGCGGCTAATCTTGGCGCGAAGACTTATCTCATCTTCGCTGGATGCATGGCTGCCATCATTGTCTTTTTCTACTTTTTCATGCCGGAGACGCGGGGTCGGACTTTTGCTGAGATCGATGAGATGTATGCGGCTAAGATCCCTATGTGGAAGTGGAGGTCGTATGAGACTTCATTGGAGCTGAGGTCGCGTGCGTCGAAGCGTTTGGCATGACCCCAGTTCATTTTTCGGATCATAGTGTATAAATCTACTTGTAGAGCAAACGCTCTATACTCTTCGCATTGTACCATGGAAATATATAAACTTGGGGTATAGTTAAACTCGCTCTATTGGTACACTGTAAAACCCAGCGAAAGATGATGTTTCCATGTACAACATGGCCAATGAGGTCTAAAAAAGTAAATGCATGTCGAAAGCCCATTTCATAGGAATTGGAAAAGATCACTCGAGCCAAATAAAAAAAAACACTCCCGAAGAGCCTTACTCATCGTTGCGGCCACTCCGGAGCTTTGGCTTCCATAATCTGTAACGAGCGGAGATGAGCTCGGTACTTCTCCAGATAGGGATGGTTTCCACCACGGAAGCTGGTCATCAGTAACAAAAAGTCTTCAGCAAGACTCTGGGGCGTAGAAGTCGTGGTTGATGGTATTCTTTCAGTGAAATTGACGGGCATGTTCAGGCCAACCCCGTAAGACGGGCTTGTATTGCATAGGATGTTCGTTGCGCAGATTGCGATGTCGTACAGTTTTTCGGTCTGAATATTCAGTTGTTAGTATGGAGTCAAGGTCACGAGCCGAACATAAACATATACAGGATATAGATGTGAGCAAGTTACATACCAGACCGATGCCATGGGCTTCCATGGAGCTCAGCCGTAATGACTGACACAGCTGAAGAGTGGTTTCAGCAATGGATACGGCATATCCGAAGGTTAGCTCGGGATGTTCCGAATGGGCACTCAAAAGCCCGTGGGTTGAGGAGAGAAGCCAGACACGGTTCTGGAGCCATTTCTGGGTGATGAAAACGTCCGCTGCTTGGGTCTCTCGTAGGCCCATGGCAAATGTAGCATTGCTGGTTTCGCCACGACCTCCCTTGGCTCGCTCGAACCAGTCATAGCCGCGATATCGTTCGGCTTGATTGACTCGATTGAGATTTTGGTGGATGGAGAGTGCCTTGACTTCGGTGAGCCGTTGGCAGTACCCATTGTTGCTATCGCATCGGCGGTTCCAGCAGTCGATGACATCTTCGTCGATGGCATCGAATAGTTCCATCATTCGTGCAAGACCCATCATCCCCTCGGCATCCTTCTCGTTGTGGACCATAATGCCAGAGACGACGCTATGCGTGGCGCTGTGGATGAAATCATGCACTGACCGCATGGTGAATCCCGGCTTCCCCCAAAAGGTGATTGGGTGTCGCCGCTGCAAAGCATAGGCTCTGAAGCTTATGGTCAGCGGGTTGATTTTAAAAGAGCTAGCCGTTTACTTACCTTTCCGTAATAGAAAGGACGAGGTACGTTCGTAGTCGCTGGCCTTTCTCTTCCCCGGACAGATCCTGATATGACTCGGGATCATTCAATCCTAGCGTGGCTGCAAGATCTAGTGCCTCCCGTATCCGGAGCCACGCTGCGTTGTGCTGGTTACTTCCAAACAAACAGCCAAATAGGAAAAAGCTTGTCAGGACAGCTTCAATCGTTGGGTTCTCGCCAAAATCCGAACAGCTTCGCATTTTGGTCGCTGCGTTCATCATGGCTCGTGCCTGCAGAGCTCGAGATGAGGTCGTCGGCCGCTCGTTGATCTCAATTGGCTGGGTGAGCGAGAATGCACATAGGGACAAGAGCATGGCCCCGAACTGGGAGTTCTTGCGATGTTCTTGTGTGATCATCGAAGTGTACAGCGATGATCGGTTGAGGACGGGTATGGTCGGATGCAGTCGATCAAAATAGACATCAATCCAAGGGATCATATTTGCTTCGTTGATTGTGGATGGCCAGACTGCATCCCCCTCCTGGGTATCTGAGTGCATAGACCCCACGGTTGGTGAAAATGGCATATTTGGAGCTTCCTGCGGGGGCATTCCCATGGCCCCAGCATCGGGGACTGGTTGAATGATAGAGGGAAGAGATGGCCTGAGATATACATTACTTCCTGGATATTCGAAAACAGGGACTTGAGAATCCAGATTATCTGGAAGCCAGTACTCGACGTCATTTCGATCGTTCCAGCTCATGGCGCTGGCGCTGTTGCTGTGAGAATCTATAGATGTGGTTTCCTCACCCCAGGCTGCCATTGGAGGTGGGATAACTGAAGGCGCTAATCCTCCGGTTCCCTCTAGGGGCATCGTGGCTGGACCCTGAGTGGGGGTCCAAGGTGCTCCAGGCAAAGGACCGGCTTGTCCGGACTCCACCGAAGAGGTCGGAGTTTGGAATTGGAAGCCATTTTTCGATTCTTCTTGGGGAGTTATGACAGTCTGCTGCTGTCGAATTTGCGACACGCGACTTTATCCCAGTCAGTGATACTATTCACAGTCACGGGCGATTACTCACTGCCCGGTTGGTCCGCGCTTCTTCTGTGGTTGAAGGAATGTACACTCGAAGCCCATGGACTCACAAGCCTTACAGGGCTGTGACAAGCTACACTGGAAGCAAGTTAGTATGTTCAGTGTCATTGTGATACATAAGGGGGGTGGGAGTGTGGATGTCTTACCTTGATCTTGCGGAATTTGCATTGGTCGCACGCTCTCTTGGCGATAGCAGATTTATTTGATCGGATGGCGCCCGTGGCAGTGGTGCCGGTCGGAGATCTTCTAGCTTCCATGTTCCTAAATCAGTGTTTGTAGCTGTAGAGCTATAGCTCTCTCAGGCAGAGAGATTGAAACATAAAACCTAGTGAGGTCGAAGAAGGTTTGACCCACATGGCCAATTGGCCCCCTTCCCCCGCCTCTCCATTTTCTCATCTTCTCATCTTCTCATCTTCTCATCTTCTCTTTCTTCACCAGAAAGATCATAAAAATGACTCCAAATTATTGGGGAAAATGGAAAATACGGTAAATCCCGGTTAGATAAAGAGAAAATAATTACTCCAAATATGTTTCTAGTGGTATTTGACGGAAAGTGTGCCACACCCCCACTTGATAAGACCCTCGGACAGCAGTCCGAGCAGACTATATCAAGCTAGTCTTGACCTCCAATGGGGCTCGTGCAAGTCCAATTCATACCAAAATGGGCAGCTTACAGACTTGGGAAGAGATTGTCTCCCATAAGCAACTCATCAGAGACCAACTCCTCGCACCGTATTTGGTCGATGTAGCTCAACGTCTGCCGCAAGTACAGAATCCCGAGGAGCGTACTCGAGTAGAAGATCCCTTGGTTCAAAGGATCACAGATATTGACAATGTCGCCACGCTACTGGAATGCCTGGAGAAAGGGGAGTTCCAAGCAGAACAGGTGGTCAAGGCATACATCCAACGGTATGTCTTTGATCGGGGGTTGGAACAGACTATATACTAATGTGATCGGTAGGGCTGTGGTAGCACATCAATTGGTATGTGCCTCGCATCTTCGGTTCCATTTCTATCCCGGCCAACTCACTGATAAAATCTGGCATGGATAGACAAACAGCCTGACCGAGATTATGTTCGAAGACGCCCTAGAGCATGCAAAGCAGCTAGACGCCGACTTTGCAGAAAGTGGAAAGCTCAAAGGTCCCCTGCATGGAATTCCTATCACCCTAAAAGATCAATTTAACGTCAAGGGCCTTGACACCACCCTGGGATATGTGGGCAGGTCATTCGCCCCGGCCCAGGAAGACGCGGTGATTGTGCAGATCTTGAAGAACATGGGCGCCATTGTCATCGCAAAGACAAATCTTCCACAGAGTATCATGGTTCGTCCGAGATTATCACTGGCAGTATCTGATTTGGAGATTGACTCTACCTCCAGTGGGCCGAAACCGAGAATCCTCTCTGGGGACTCACGAGCAATCCCCGCAATCCAATCTTTTCACCCGGTGGCTCAACTGGCGGCGAAGGCGCTTTGTTGACATTGCATGGGTCACTATTCGGATTCGGAACTGATATCGGCGGAAGCATAAGAATCCCACAGTCTACAGTGGGCTTGTATGGCTTCAAACCAAGCGTAAGCATCAACCGCCAACAAGCAGACTTCTTCCTCTTCACTTATCTGTGCTTATGATCCCCACAGAGCGCTCGACTCCCCTACCAGGGCGTACCCGTCTCCACCGAAGGCCAAGAACATGTCCCATCTGCCATCGGCCCGATGGCTCGAGATCTCGCGTCTATCAGCTACATGAGCCGTCTGATAGCAAACAGCCAGCCCTGGGACCTCGATCCGCGATGCGCTCCTCTTCCCTGGAATGATACTGCATTCCAAGAACCCCAAGATCGACCTATGGTCATCGGTTTGATCCTGGATGACGGCGTGGTAAAGGTCCACCCACCTATTGCGCGCGCCCTACTAGAACTCTCAGCAGTCCTTAAAGCACATGGCCACGAGGTTGTGGAATGGGATACATCTGACCATGCGGGGTGCATTGAGATTATGGATCTCTTCTACACGGTCGACGGAGGTGAGGATATTCGTCGGGATGTAGCCGCTGCCGGCGAGCCGTTTATCCCTCACGTTGAAGGGCTGGTTAACCGCGGCAAGGCTATCTCGGTTTATGAATATTGGCAGTTGAACAAGCGGAAAGCTGCGGCGCAAAAGAAATATCTGGATAAATGGAACGCGATGCGGTCTCCATCGGGTCGGGCTGTCGATGTTCTGTTGAGTCCTACTTTGCCCCATACGACTGTGCCTCATCGGAAATTCCGTTGGGTTGGCTATACTAAGATTTGGAATTTCCTGGACTACCCGGCTTTGACGTTCCCAGTGGATAGAGTGAGAGCCGAGCTGGATGTGTTGCCCTCGGAGCCCTATGTCCCAAGAAACAGTATCGACGAGTGGAATTGGAATCTTTTCGATGCGAAACAGGTGGATGGATATCCCGTGAATCTACAGATCATCGGCAAGAAACTCCAGGAAGAGAAGGTACTGGGAGCTGCTACAGTTATTGAGAAGATCTGGAAAAGTAATCTCGACAAATCCAATTGAACTACCTGGGATCGATAGGCAGAATATGAGATTGGGTCAACCCACAGACTGAATGACGTAAATCGCCGTTGATTGAACTGATTTTTGGGATAAATATGGTACACGTAACTCATTATGCAGCTTGGTGGGATATCTGCCTCCAGAGTCACTTAAAATGACAAACGCCGTGGGAATATGCAACAAGACAAGCATTTTTGAGTCTCAAGCCTTGGGGGGCTCGAACAGATCGGGTTTCATGTTAATCTTGCAAAGCTTCGCCACACAACCGCTCAGTTGAAGCAGCGACTGCACACCATCCAGGATACGCATATGCGTGAATCCAATCTCTCGAATGAACTCCAACTTGGAATGTTCGGACAATGTGGGGATGGTTTTGGTGACTCGGAACATGGTACTGATGATATCGTGAGAAGAGTAACCCAGGGTCCTGTAGATATGAAATAGTCAGAAATCTCCAGCACCTCGAAACACGAAGCAAACACATGTACAACATACCATAGCTCGTTCAGCCCCTCTAGTGCCACATCCACCTTGCCTTCCCAGCAAGCCTTGATCATGGCCTGGACTTTAACCGGGTGGGGACTGTCGACTACTCGGAACACATTGTCTCCGCTGACGAAACCGAAACCGGACCAAGTACTCTGCAGGTTGTTGATAGCCTGGCGCATGTCACCCTCTGCACTGAAAACAAGTGCAGCAATTCCATCCTCGGAGTGTTCGACCTTCTCCGCCTCGCAAATTTGCATCAACCGTTTCACAACCTGAGCATCTGTCAACCGGGCATAACGGAGAATGGCGCAACGGGATTGTAGGGGTTCAATGATCTTGTTCGACTGGTTACAGGCAAATGCAAAACGGGTGGTGGAGGAATAGATTTCCATAGTACGTCGTAGGGCTTGTTGAGCACCGGCGGTCATGCTGCAGGGATATGTGAGTCCAATGACCAAAACAAAACTCTGTGGAGAACAAACCTATCGGCTTCATCAAGGATTACCAATTTATGGCGACCTTGGGGTAGGGTAACCTTCTTTTGGGCAAAACCTTTGATTCGATTGCGCACCACATCAATACCTAGATCATAGCATCAGTATCAACCGGGTCATATAGCAAATTATGCCAAAGCTAACCTCTCTCATCACTGGCATTCAATTCCAGAACTGCCTCCTTGTATGCATCTCCCAGCATTTGCCGCGCCAGACATAGTACTGAAGTGGTCTTTCCAATACCCGGCATGCCGGAGATGATAACGTGTGGCATATTACCATCTTTGGCAATGATCTTTAATCGTTCCACTGTTTCAGTGTTGCCGACAATATCATCGAGGAAGGTTGGGCGATATTTCTCAACCCTATTGAGAAGCCAAAGGTTAGCTCTGCCTGATGTTCTCGTGGAGGGAAAACCTACCAGGGAAGCTCATAGTCCACAGGGGCACCAGCAGCACTGGCCTTGGCACCATTGCGAGAAGCATTTGAGGAAGATTCAGCTTGAACCATTATGAGTAATTTGGTGATTCCAAGGTGAAGAAGTGCAGTGAAGGGGAGACGCGAAAGAAGCACGCGTGGGAAACGCGATAACGGCTTATCAGCTGGCCTGTGCACTTCACAGTGAGATGTTTGGCACTGAGGGCATTGAAGCTATTGTTTTGGTTATTTCATATTGTATAATCTCTATAAGATCCTCGGTAGTCAATTGTTTCTAGTATACTGACTGCCGCACATGTAGTTTAGTTCAATGCTGGTGTTGTCGTGGTCGTTTCTTTTCTCATCCCCTCCATTCCGCGCAATTCTTCCTCTCTTCATCCCAACAACAATTATTCTTAATACCTAGCAGCTGGCGATACCTCTATTCCCTCCAATTTAGACACCCTAACACACATACCCGAAATCAATCTGCTCCTCGAAATATCTACGCTGCCTCTCCGCGACGCGACGCGCACGGCTCCCCGCATACTCAGAACCTCCGGCCAAACACAGCAGAGAAAACACAAACCGCAGTGTGTACAGTCATGCAAACATCTGGAATGATAAACCAGACCTCTGTCCGCCGCAACCTCTTCCATGGGAACCTCAGCCGCCGACCTGCTTCCGCAGGACCACCCAATGGCACAGTTCCTCAAACCCACAGCGGCCTTTCCAATCGCCCCTCGCACCGACTGAAGCCTACATCCTCAGACTCGGGGCCGCATACTCGACCATTTAAAACTGTGGAAAATAAAGATATTGTGGTCCGGGACAAGAATGGCAGCTACAAGCTTGAGATTCCGACATTGCCGCAGGCTCTAGTTGGAGAGGACGGAGAGGAGCTGGCTGAACTTGCGCCGGAGGATGGAGCATTCGAATCTTCGGAACTCACTGGGCGTGACAAAGAGAGTGCGTTTTTATCACAACATTTTTTTCCTCTACGAAGTATAGTCTGCTAATACTTGACACAGAGTTCGAGGCGGCTCTGGTGGAGATGATGGTTCGGCACCGGACGAGACAATCAAACGGTGAAACTGATGGTAAGTCACAGTCTGGTTTTGAGACTTGACAGTCCTTTCGGTGATCATATACTGACCCGAAACAGAGATTCTAGATATGGTGCACGAGAGCCTACGCAAAAAGGTAGCATCATTGGATGACGATAATTGGATGTTTGAGCCTGAGAAGGACTCGATTTCTAACTAGACAGGGCTGCGCTTGCTGCATGCACATTGATCTCATTACACTATCAGTTGGATATGTTTCCTGCAAAGGCCTGCTTCAAAGACCCACGCATCAAGTCTCTCTTAATCGAGCTCCATGCTCGAGGGCGGTGCCTCGACCTTCTTCCGGGATTGCGATGCTCCTCTGCCACCTGTCTTGTTCTGACCTCCTCCAAACAACATACCGCTCATCATGTCCATCAAGGGGTTTCCTTGGCGGGGAATCTTGATGGCGAAGTACTGCTCGCCAATCTGAGCCAGAGCATCGTCCCAAATACCAACTTCTCGAATTTGTACTGCATAGTGTGCGGTGAGCTGTCGGAAGAGATCGGCACTTCCGCGCTGGATAGCCAACAGCAACATGGTGAGGAAGTTCACCAAAGGGAGGGCAGGGAACACCCGGGCGTCGGAGCTGGCACTACTGACATCCTGCACCCCGAGCTGAGGATTGGCTGCTGCAAGCCGCGAAGTGAAAATAAGCAGGGCTTTATTCGCGCTGCGGATATTTCCAGTGAGGAGGTATGGGAAGACTGCGCGTGACGCATAGATCGCGGCGGTGTGCGGCTCGTCGCTGGTGTACCACTCATACTCGAGCTTTGCAAGAGTCTCGGCTGATTCAGAGGTTCCTAGGGTGAGATGTTTCTCGGCATCGTATGGCTCGTTATCTGAGGCATTAGATTAGAATGAATCAAACATTGCGCTTCGACATCACTCACCTTCGGCGTATACTGAACCAACCGCATGATGTAAATCCGGATCTCCTCGCTCGAGTGGTCCAAACTTTGCACTCCATCCAATCATCTCTTGGATGAATCTCTTTCGTGTGGGTTCATCCGACGGGAATTCGCGCAGTAGCTCGATCAGGCGCTCTGAAGAACAAAAATATACAAGTTAGCAATGCTAGATCTATGGTAGGTACTGGGGCAAATCGAAGCACCAAGATTGACCACCGCACGCTGCAGTAATCAAACCCCCATAGTAAAAACATGTTGGATAGACTCACTCTTCCGAGAACGACCCTCTGCATCATCATTTCCGCCTGAGATCTCCCATTCGGCTTTGTTGTATACCTCAAGCACCAACATGATGGCCAAGTCTCCGCCACTGGCCGATGCACCCTGCTGGGAACCAGCTTTTAATAGCTCCTTTGCGCCACCAGCCAGGATCTCCGCTGCAGCATCGTAGTTGGACTGCTTGATATACCGGACAGCAATAACACGTAGTTGCTGGTGAGCCTCATAGTAAGCACCATCAGCAATCCTATAGACAGCAACAGACAGTCAAAATGGGATCCTTCAAGGTCCAAGGTGGTCCAAGGTAGTTACGGGCCAGGTGGGATTCTCACTTTTCTCGCTGGCGGGCGATGACCTTATCAATCCGGGATGCCATTGTGAACTGAAAGGAAGTGCTGATCAAATAAATCAAAGAAAAGTAGAATCGAGGACGCTATCAAGCAGAGTGCGCAGTGCAAGAATGTTCGCGGGGAGTTGGATGAGACTTGGTGGGGACGCGGCAATTCGCCCAGGGCCCGGAGAACATGGCATCTCCGTCATCTTCTCAAAATACCTTATGGTTGCTTTATAGCTGGAACTACCAGCTTTGTTTTCACGCGAAATCTGCAATTTTTGCTGTTTGGAACCTGTTCGTCCTATTGACCACTGTTTCCGGCGATATTACGATAATACCACGCCATTACAGACATCCCTAACGACTATACGAGCTACCTAGGTCGCGACAATCTAAATCAAGGACGAAGCAATCGCTCTTCTTCATTCGGCCATGTCCATCACTCAATAGTGCGACAAATACATCATGAACCGGTCTACTTTCAATATCCAGCCCCTGCACCGCTTCGGCCGCGCAAATACCTCTATCCGGAGACCAAAGGTAAGCTAAAGACCTGGCGCCATGTCAAACAAATGAAAACAAATAGCTCACCTGGTGCTAGGAAATTGCCTGTTTCTCTTATGATGACCAGCGTCGTTTTTCGCTGGGCGATTCGTCCATGACCTACTACTACACGCCGGCTCTCCCCGCAGACCTGAACAAGGGCTATGAGACATTCCAGAAGCTTGATGATGTGCCCGATGAGCACTTGGATGCCTTACTTGATACCCTTGTTGCTCATGAGAAAGAAATAGAGAAGAAGTGTGATGTAGACATCGTCACATGGAGAGGAATGATGACCAAGGTGTGTTGAGTTGAAGACTAGCATGGACTGTCATCCAATTTCGAACCAAATTTTGACATCTATGTACAGATTCTAACAGCTCCCTTTGATAATATGAATGGGTTCGTAGCCCTGATCTATTCACCAACATAGTGTGCTGTTTCTCTAACCCTGGGCTATCTCTAGGTTCGAGATGAATGCAACTTGTTTCCAGGTACGATATCAATCTCAGCAAGATTTTCTAGCCTCAATTATCTAATATATATTATAGGGCACCATGTTTGTATACCTAGCTACTAGAAGTGCTATATAAGGTACTGACTTGTTCCAGATTCATCGAAGAAAACAACGAGTATAAGAACCAACAGAAAGAAATCCAACGCAAGCGAGGATCACCACCTGGAATGGCACCACAGGAACTCATGATGTATTGGGGTGTGTGAAACAACTCATGCAAATATATGCCTAAACCAATTAACAATATTAGGCTACAAATTCGAAAAGCTGGCTGTACTTCCAAAGACGTGGGATGAATCAACTCGCGAAGAGATCGAAGGCCGCGAAAACGAAGTCGTCAACAACGCAGCACAGTATTGTTCCGTTGTTCGCACTGGGATCGGCAACGTGCGTATGATTCTCGGTGGAGAGGTTGATGCCAGTATGTTTACCATGCTTCTCGTAGCTATACCCAATGCTAACTTCTTTTCTAGTCTGGGACAGCAAGCCATCGCGAAAAGAAAGCCCCATTAACTGGGTTGAGCTCAAAACATCAGCTCAGATCCGCAATGAACGCGACATGATAAAGTATGAGCGGAAATTGCTCAAGTTCTGGGCACAATCATTCCTGCTCGGTGTGCCTAAGATCATCGTAGGATTCCGTGATGAAAATGGCATTTGCCGTAGCTTAGAGGAGCTGGACACAGCCAGTATTCCCGGAAAAGTGTTGAGTGTCGGCCGGCGGTCTTGGGATGGAAACGTCTGCATCAATTTTACTGGTGCTTTCTTAGAATGTGAGTGTTCTTTTTGGTGACTTTATAGCAGCACTGACACACCTTCCAGGGCTTAAGCAGACCATCAATCAGGAGGGGACGTGGAGAATTCGGAAGAAGGAGAAGTCTCCGGTTATTGAGGTCTATCAAGTTGAGGAGCAAGGACATGGCGATATTCTCTCGCCTGCTTTCAAGGCCTGGCGATCAACGACGACCTCTGCAAGTTTGTGATTGGAAGGTCTGATGTATGCTAGTTAGTGCTAATGTATCTTTATCGCTTGTGTATCATTCCAAGAGATGAAATCTTTCAACGGCCTCTCGTTTCAACGTACTACAACCCCCCACCCACTTGGTCTTACGCTCAACCCGAGTCGACATGCGGTCCGAGGGAACCCCCAGGGGAGACTTTCTAGTGACGACGTGCACCTGAATTTTACACGAAAGATCATCCCTGACCGGTCAGAATAATAGAAGAATGGTGGGTATTTCTACGATCCTTAGTCTATCCTTGACTATGCAATGCAACAACTCATGACCCAGGCTCAGTTTCAGTTTCAGGATCCTGGATCCCCTGCGCTTCCAATTCCTTCTTTCGGAAATAGTCATCCCGCTGTGCCCTCCTACTCGCAGACTTAAGTCCCCTTTTATGTTGATGACTATTCAGATGAATATGCCACTGGTCTTCCGACGCCATAGTCTTCTGGCAGACATCACATGTATAGCACTTCCCGATTGGGTCTGTCTGTGCACGCATTTGGGCCTGGGCTTCCTTCGCGCCGAACTCCGCCGTTGCCAACTGAGAAAGAGATTTGGGATCTGGAGTCGGCTTGTTTTGCTGCATCAGTTGCACAATCTCTTCGGACGGCCCAGTGATGCACTTGCTCCAGTCGCTGACATTCGAACTGTCCAAAAGATAAAGACGACGAGTCTCTCCGGCTTCTCTGAGTGCTTGCCAGAGTTTATTGCGGATCCATTTGACTTGCGAAGTTCCATACTGCCGTGTGGCGATCCGAATTAATTCAAGAGAGGTGACTTTGAGATCTTCGATCTCTTTCTCGCTTGCTTCCCCGTCCCGGATAGCCTTGAAGTATGGCGCCAATTCCTTGAATCCAATGGACACCCAGACTCCCCGTGTTTGGTCAACTTCAATCCCCTGCGAGGCTTTTTCCTGCAAGTAGTCCGACATCTTCTCCGCCTCGGTCATCAAGCCCTGCTTGACCATGTCATCGACACGCGCATCCAGGCGCGCATTGAGGACCTCCTTCTCGGCATGTACCCAAAACACCAATGTATTCTCGAACCGTAGCAGTCCTTCCGCCTGGTCTATCGCTTTTCTTTTTTGAGAGAATTGCTCTGTATAAATCTCCGAGGCTTTCCGCCCTGTCTGAAAATAGATTTCCAATGATCGCCGGATTTTCCGTGCATCTCTCGGATGCCATCGCGCAGCCATGACAGGATCCACCTCGCGCAGCTTCTCCAAGAGAACTTCAGGCGACGAGTCCAGAATCGGCCATTTCTTCGATGTTGAGCTAAACTCCGTGAGCTGTTCCCGCTCGCCTTCGTCGTCTACTCCTTCGCCCACGAGCTGTTCCTTGAACAATACTGCTTGGGTATAATAGTGGGTGCCACCAACAAGGATAGGGACCTTGCCACGGGCGCGGATGTCTTCAATCGCTCGTAGAGCTTCTCGCTTGAATAGTCCTATGCGCCATGCTTCCGCGTCTAGGTCGATGCAACTGAGGAGGTGGTGAGGGATGCCGTTCCGTTCATCTACCGGGATCTGATTCGTTATGATCGGCAACCCGCGGTACATCTGCATAGCGTCGCCATTGATGATTTCACCATTGAATCGAGAAGCCAAGTCCACTGCAAGCTGTCTACAGCTGTCAGTCATAGTGTCCGGAGGAAATGCGGGCGGGACTTGGAGTCACTACCTTTGACTTTCCTGTGCCTGTGGCACCGACGACGGCTATGAGCGGATTCATGATTCTTTGACCGTGCCAAATAGATCGGAGAGCCGAGAGCATCCCGCGATGCTCATTGCAACGACGTGGGGGAGAAAAAAAAAAGTTGTTATCGGTTATCACGCGGGTTACCTCATCCATGGCATCACCCGAGATCGTCTCATCGTTACATGAGCGCTAGCATCAAATCAGTCTAGATAAATTGGAATGAACAATCCTGTCTGACTCATTTTATCTTCTTCCTTTCACTTTTTTTTTACTTTCGTCGAATTCCCCGGTGCTCTCGGTGCTTTTCTTCCCCCACATTTGTCATGGCGGATATCAATTCCACTCTCCCAAACATTGAGGTACAAAACCTCTCGTACAAGTTCCAAGATGGCTCCAGTGGCCTGGAGAACGTATCCATGAGCCTACCAGCTGGAAGCCGCACTCTACTGATCGGCGGTCAGTCAATCCCATCTCTACTATAGACTAATCTCGAAGACTAACCCAAACACACAGCAAATGGAGCGGGGAAAACCACCCTCCTCCGCCTCCTCTCAGGGAAGCGCCTTGCACCCAATAATACCATCGCCATTGGTGGCAAGGATCCTTTCAAGGATAGCCTAGACGGCGTGACATACCTGGGAGTCGAGTGGGTGTTGAACAGTATCGTCCGCACAGATATCGATGTGCCCACGCTGCTCGCCTCCGTTGGCGGAAATGCCTACCCAGAGCGCCGGGACGAGCTGATCGATATTCTCGATGTCGATCTGCGCTGGCGCATGCATGCCGTCTCGGATGGAGAACGCCGTCGCGTGCAGCTGGCCATGGGCTTGCTGCGACCCTGGCAGATCCTGCTGCTCGACGAAATCACTGTCGATCTGGATCTTTTGTCCAGGAGCAATTTCTTGGCTTTCCTAAAGCGGGAGACTGAGACTCGTGCCTGCACTATTGTTTATGCTACCCATATCTTGGATAACCTCGCCCAGTGGCCTACCCATTTGGCACACATGCACTTGGGTAAGGTCAAGGCGCTGGGTAGTGTTGAGTCATTCCATGAGCAAGTCCCCGAGTGGACTTCGGAGAATAGCCGCCTTGGAGAGCTGGTTCTCAAGTGGCTCAAGGAGGATATGCAGGCCAGAGGTCCTCGCAATGGTCGTGGTAATCAGGCCAAGACCTACCAATCGCTTGAAGGTATTGGGGGTTACGGACTGGAAAAACACGACTGAAGAAATAATCTGGAAGAGATCTGACACATTTTGTTTTCTCTATTTTTTTGGATTTTGCATGCAAGCACTGATGTCAGGAGTCATTTAACGTGCCATTCAACAACAATTGGGTTCAACCACAAGGCATAGACGGGGTTATGGATTGGCATCTGCATCTACAGGGAGGATTTATTCAACACTTGGGAGTTTTCAACCATCATGACTCAATAAGGGGGGCTAAGATTATTTTACTTTTTATACAAATCATGAGAGCATGTTCGAGATAGCACATGCGTGTGGACGTATCCTCGCTTATACAGATTCGAACTGATCGCTGATCTATAAATCATTTTGAGCCATGACAAGGCTGGACACCGCGTAAGTGCAGATAAAGTAACTCAACGTGGCATGAGCTCCAGGCCTCTTTCCAAACACATGCTTCTATGACTTTTTGTATCAGGACAGTCTTCACAGGGTTTATAACGAAAGTTTTGAAAGAAAAAAAGACATCTACAAAGCATCTACAGGGAAATTAAAAGGGACGTTAAAAAGGAATCTCAACCATCATGACTCATAAAGGGGGTTACCCAGGTACCTAGGCAGAACCATTTTGTTTCTTTTGTACAAATCATGAGAGCATGTTCGAGATAGCATATATCCGTGTAGACGTATCCTCGCTTGCCACCGCCAATTCAAACTGACTTCTGTTATCCGCCTCTGCAGCCGGCACTGGTCGCCATGATAGTTGAGTGATTGTCTTGGAGGGCGACGCCACTTTGTCAATGGTCACGATGTGCTGTGCTTCGAGAGTATCGGCAGCAATTCGGTGGATAGAAATAACACCGTTGTCTTCGCCGACAGCAATAATATAGGTGCCTTGGTATGTTGCAGGCAAAAATGCAATTGCCGAGACCGCAGATGTCAGGCCCACGGTCGTTTTGCAGACGAAAGTGTCTTCAGACTTCTGCCAGATCTTGACGGATTTGTCACGTCCTGCCGTGGCAAAGACATGCTCTGTTGTAGCTGGGGCCCAGGCTGCACCCAGGATCATTCGAGAGTGACCCTTGGGGTTTACGCTGAGATTTGTAAACGTAGTTGGGTCTGCGTCGCTCCGCTGGAAGACCGCCCATTGGCGATCTCGTCCAACACTGAGAAGATAACGATCGTCACTCGAGAATGAAAGGTCCGTGATGGTCAACGAGTGCGCAGTGAGGGAAGGTTTGATCTCATGCCAGTCTGACGTATCGTAGAGGCGAATTACCGCATGATCAATCGAGCTGGCCTTGCAGGCGGTCGCAATGAGCTTACGATCATGGCTCACTGCCACTGCTGAAATCTCATAGCCATGGCCATAGAGCTTCTCATGCTCCGGCCACAATGTGTAACGAGACAACTGATCCTCCAGTGGCGGGTGGTTGGCAGCCAGCGAAGCGGAAGCGACTGGCGCCTCAGTTGGGCCTTTTTTCTCATCCTCTTCCACTGGGGCCTCATCTCCAAGTGCCTTATTCGAGAGACCCAGCACTGGGATTTCAGCAGTGTCTGGGAGGTCCTCATCATTCGATTGTTTGAACCCAGTGAGTCTCTCGAGCAACTTAGCAATTGGTTTGGGCTCGTTGAACACACGCAGAAGTTTCTCCTCTGCGCCAGTCACAAACTGTGAGGGACCCAGTGTGTCGACACAGTTCAAATCGTACCCATGAATCTGAGGGCGAGAGAACTCATGCCATGACCCTGTATCTCCTCGCACCCACTTTGCATGAAGCCGGGTGGTTTGGTCTGAACTGGTTGAAAGCAGGTAGCCTCCAGTGGGCTCCCATTGTACACCGTTCGCGGAGCGCACATGACCCGAAATACCGAACTTCTGTACCCAAATATCCGCGTCGGAATCATGTCGCCAGACCCTCCAGCTACCTGTCCGGCCAAGACTCACCACTTGCTTACCGTCTGGCGACCAGAGCCCAATCCAGAAGCCACCGGCACTACCAGTCGCCGTAGTAGATCCTTTCTGAACACTGATCTCTCCCATTCTCTCTGCGGACATCCAAACGCCTGATGCTTGGTCCTGTTCCCAAATCGTGATGGTATTATCAGCCGATGCCGAGAGAAGCTGCTGCCGCTTCGAATCTGGGTTCCATGCAATAGTATAGATCCAGTCTTCATGTCCAAAGAGAAGAGCTTCGAAGGTAATGGAGTATTTCGATCCTGCAGCCTCAAACTCGTGGGCTTTGTTCGATAGCGTAGGCTCCATTCCTCCAAGCAGAGGATCGGTATCATCTATTGGAGCAGGAGCACTTGCTTCACCCCGGTGCAGCCGCCAAAGACGGATGTATCTATCTTGACTTGCAGACGCTAACAGGATATCACCGTTGCTCTGCTTGTCCAAGGTGAACGAAAGAGCCTTAATCCAGGCTTCGTGTCCTGCAAGCACAGCCCGGCGCTTGAACTCTGGCTTGCCGATGGAGGTTTCGGAGACGTAGATCTGAACCTTGGTCGTTGTACCTGCAACGGCCAAAACCAATGGCTTGTTCGAGTCGCCTTCAAGCCCCTGCAATGACAGAGATAGCGGGAAGAACCGCGGTGTCATTGTGATCGTTTCGAGTAGCTCGCACTTCAATTCGCCCTGTGCATTTATTCTCCAGATTCGAACCGTCCCATCAGCCGCTCCAGATGCGATAATATCCGTCCCATCGGCGACAGCAATCGCATTCACTGAGCTCGTGTGACCCTCAAGGGTAGACGCAAGGACATAGTTGTGCGGATCGGCATTGTCTTTTTGCCATACCCGTATTGTGCGGTCGACGGAACCGGTGACGATAAATCTCGTTCCTGAGGCGGGGCAAGTATAGAATCGAACGACACTGACTTTGTCGGTATGACCAACAAGCAGGGCATAGATACCACGATCAGTCTTGTCCTTGACTAAGTGTCAGCTCTTCCTTCTTATTAATGCGCAGTTGTTCTCAATCAACCTACTAGAGGATCCCATAGGGCGACATTGTTGTCCGCACCGAAGGCGAGCACGCCTGTCTGCACATCCCAATCTGCGGCACCAGGATGCCGGTTTCCTCCCACACTAATGTAGTCTGTTTTGACGGCGACCATGGAGGATTATGAAGGTTTATGAACCCTTTTGTCTGTCTGTGCTGCTGTACTGGGAATCAATTGAAGAAAAGCCGCAAAGAAATTGCGGGAAGATTGGGGCTTATCGATAAGAGGTTCTGTCTCCGCCCAGCCCCTCCATCTTCAACGGACTCGACTTGGGATTTCTTTCCATTCGTCCTCAATAAAAGAGATAATTGCTATATGCTCTTTATTTCCCTTCATCTACGACGCTATGGCTGATACTTCAAACGTGGGCCAGGGAGATTTCCCCATCCCTATCACCGTCGAGTTTACGTACATCAAATCTTTCTGTCAATTGATCAACCTCTGCTAATAACTGATCTCGATAGTGGCGGCTTGGAATTGCTATTCGGGAATGAGCGCAAGCATAAGGTCGTTTTGCCTGCTCGTTTAGAGGACAGCAGCAGGCCAAATATTTCATACCTACTTAAATACCTCGTCGACAATCTCATGAAGGATCAGAGGATAGACATGTTCATCATGGAAGACAATGTGTATGTCAACATGACTTCGAAGTTTGATTCAAAAAGTATTAATAATTTTAACAGACGACCGGGCATTCTCGTCCTCATCAACGATGCCGATTGGGAACTCGAAGGCGAAGAGACATATGAACTTCAACAAGGAGATAACATTGTTTTTGTCTCAACTTTGCACGGCGGTTAAACATGATGGATTGTATTGGTGCTATCAACGCAACTAAGACGAGAAACAAACTTGATTCAAACTTTGGCTGGAGGAATTCGAGAGCAACATATGGATGGTATTGCCAGGTGAAGCGTACTAGTGTGGACGTTTACCTAGACCACATCTTCAACATGCTGTTGTGAGATCCGTTCGCGCTCACGCGGTGTTCGGATTCCACTGGGTGTTCGATGACCACTATGTGGGGTTGCTTGACCTTCTGGAGTACCAAGCCCTTGCGTCGGTGATACCACTCCACTTGGGGGCACTGGGATCTTCAAGTCCTCTGGAGAGTCCGGGATAATCTCTGCGGGAAGATCGGGTATATGGATCCGCTGTGCCTCGTTCTGATAGCTCTCGGGGACGATCTGGAATAGTGTCAATTAACCATAGATATGAATCTCATCCAAAGTCCAATTTACCTCAATGATTTCATCGCGAGGGAACTCAAGGAACGGAATGTCTGCGGCATTGCAGGCCATGAGATAGCCATACAAAACCCTTAAAACACTTTCGTGTGCAATGATGAGGAGGTCAGTTTGCTCCCTCTCCAATTCAAGGATAATTGGCTCGAGGCGAACAGCCAAGTCATGGTATGACTAGTAGAAAGGGTCAGCAGCTACACATTTCGGGGGGTTGGGGTTAAGACTTGCCTCTGCCCGGGGATAACGGTGGTGATAAGGATCAAGCTCGTGCTTAGCAACCTCGTCCCCAAACTCTGCTCGGATGTGATTCTCAGACATCTTCTCACAGACACCAGGGTTCAGTTGGCTCAATTGAGACCTCTGGCGGATTTTATATCCGTTTTCATGGAGGTATTTCGCGGTTTCCACTGTCCTGCGCCGTGTGGAAGTCCAGACCTTCAAAGGCCTCGACTCATAGCCAGTCTCTCCTCGCTCAATCATTGCTTGCTTTTCTTCTTCTCGGTGAGCTAGTAGACGTGCGGTCATTTTCTTGGCGTAGTCTTCTCCCTGTTCTGACAACGAAGCATCGGCTTTGTATGAATCTGCATCTAGCGAAACGCCAGCCTAGATAGAATGTTAGGTTTTGCATTGTAGGAATAAGAACAGTAGATGACCTACCCGGGCAAAGTACGTGCGTCTCGATTTGATGTGGAGATTCAGAAGATAGAAAACTATACGGTTAGAAAGGTAGCCAAAGCTTCGATTGTTGACAATCAGTCTCTCGCCGGCATTGATCATCTGTATTTGGTGAGTAATGGCAATGCGACAAAACCAATTACGCGTACCTTGATGTAGTTCAGGTCCTTCTCCTCCATGGTCTGGAATTGGGGGATGCGAGAGGAGATACGGTTCAAGTAATGCTTCACGGCATCTTCTGATTTCCATGAGACGTACTGGCCGTGATTGTTAGATTTTTCTTTGAATGCCAAGATATACGTAAGACTCACATCAGGGGAGGATATCTTGACTCTACGAACATTCTCTTCAATGATGTGTTCATCGTCACACCAAGACTCAATGAACAGGGTCTGGTAAAACAAGACATCAATGATTAGTCTATTGTACAAATATTCAAACGATCAATTCTGACTTACCTCAATATCATGCTTTGCAAACTCCTTAGCGAGGGAGCGCCGTCCTGAGGCTAGCGGGTTGACGGCATCATATATCGCTATTTGACCATTTTCATGGTTCAAAAAGTGATAGATGTCTTCTCGGCACTTTCTCACAATCTTTTGGCGTAACAGAACGGACTTGGCAGTCGCTAAGCAGAGATGTCAATTATGGTCACTCAGGTGAACCAGGACACCTTGCCTACCATTGACATAGAAATAATCATCTGGCATATCCTCGCCAAATGGGATTGTGGCACGACGATAGTCGCCCAGATGGAAGATTCTGGTTTTGACACCGAGCCTATCAATGCATCAGCATGCCTCTAGGAATGCGCAAATCATAGAAGTAAAGCATACCATCGCAGGTATCGTGCCAAAGCTACTGAGATATGTCTGTCATGGGTTTAAAAATTAGTCCACTGCGTAATACTAATGTTAATGTATAAAGTATCATACGTTTTGCCTCTGGCAGGCAAGCCGACGGTGATGATCACAATGCGGCCCGAATGGAAAAGCCGACCAGATTCGGTGCTGTACAGCTGGGCTGGAGCCAAATCGGCTTTTTCCGGCAAGTCATGAATTGCATCGACAAAGATTGACGACTTACGGCGGAATCGTGGAGAGTTGGCCACGATCTCAGCGGTGCTATATGATGTCAGTTCAAATCCACTCAGGCTTCACTCTTCAGCCTCTCGAAAGACTAGACAGGAGACATTGCTCGTTTCTTTTTCTTCTTTTTGCTAGTGCTGTCAAGCAACAGCCACACACAAAGCAGGTTTCATAGGAGAAAGTATGAAACTATGAAGCGGGAAAGGCAAGCTTACAGTAAGGTGTCCATGGTGGGATGGCGAGGTGACGCAACCTTGAGATAACAAGATACCAAAAGGTACAGTATTAAACGTGTCAGGGTTATCAATAGGTAGTCCTAAGATAGATCAGAAGTACTTCAAGTCACGTCAACCTGATGGTAGGATAGTGAAGAAAGAAAGCAAGGAACAAGGAAGGGTACCTGAGAGGCGGTATAGGTAAACGATCAAGGCCCAGATATCAGGTGCAGATCATTGGCTTTTGTTGCCTTGCTTTTCAGGCTGCAATATGCAAAGCAGTCCAAACAAAAACCGATTTAGGCAAAATTCAACACCACATAAGATGAGAAGAAAAAAGCAGTTCGAAGATCAATTAATATCAGGTTATAACACCCCAACCACTCCCAATCACCCTTAATCACCCTTAATAACCCCCAATACCTCCCCCCAGTTTGTGCCTTGGACCGGGAAAGCCCGATGCTTATGTAATATCCCGGCGAACGACAGCAACCAAAGACGCCGAGGCAGGTGACTAGCATTTTTCACAGCTTGGAAAGTCTTGAATTGCTTCCCCTACACTCCTGAGCGCATCAGATCCAGCCCTTTTTACACTATTTTATCAAGGTCATCTGAGACGTTTGTTCGTCCTAGATCCTCGGGCTGGCCTCAATCCCTTTTATTCCCAATTATTTGTTTTTTCCTCCGAGTGTCAACTGAGACCGACTAACACGCGTGACGACACCTAATATATTCGTCAAATATCAGATTTCAACCAAAATGGCCGATTACCTATCATCCCTCTCCTTTCTCACAGAGAACCCTGCTGCCGCAGCCGTTAACGATGCATACTCCTCGTTCTCCGACCGAAGGGCCTTGCTCAACCTGCCCAACCCCGGCACTGTCGACAACCTCGCCAGGGAAGTGCAGAAGGATGTTCTCTTGACCAACTTCATGTTCTCCGGTCTCCGAGCAGACCTGACCAAGGTCTTCGGCATGTCCCCTCTCTTCCGTGTGTCGCACGCCTTCTCTATGGGCTCAACCGGAAACTTGCCTCCATATGCTTTCTCCGCCATGTACGGAAGCCCCAGGGTAAGAACAACCATCCAATACGACCCATGTGCCGATCACTGCGATTATCAGTATCTAATATATCGTTATCCGATAGGTGTTTATGCAAGGTAACTACGGAAGTGATGGTGCGCTCGCCGCCGTCGCCAACTACCGCTGGAACCAGGCCCTTGTCACCAAGACCAATGCTCAGATCATGAATGGTGGTACCCAGGGCTTGGTCCAGATCGACAACGACTACACTGGTCGTGACTTCTCCGCGTCCCTCAAGGCCTTCAACCCCTCTTGCCTCGAGGGTGGTCTCACCGGTATCTTCGTCGGCAGCTACCTGCAGTCTATCACCCCCAGCCTCGCTCTTGGTTTCGAGGCTATCTGGCAACGCCAGAGCATCACCGCTCGCCCCGAGACTGCTCTTTCCTACTCCGCCAAATATAAGGGTGATGACTGGATTGGTACCGCTCAGCTGCAGGCCCAAGGCACTTTCAACGCCACTTACTGGCGCAAGCTATCCGAGCGTGTTGAGGCTGGTATTGACATGAACCTCCAACTTCAGCCCTCTCCCGCTACTCTTATGATGGGTGGCCCTGCTCGTGACGGTACCACTGCCATTGGTGCCAAGTACGACTTCCGTGCCTCTTCGTTCCGCGCCCAGGTTGACAGCACCGGTAAGGTCAGCTGCCTCCTTGAGAAGCGCATTGCCATGCCCATCTCTCTCTCCTTCGCTGGTGAGATCGACCAAGCCAAGGTAAGCGACATCCATAAAACTTTCTCATCATAACCTCAATACTAATTTCTTTTTTTTTTTCCTTCTAGCAAACAGCTAAGCTCGGTCTTGCCGTCTCCCTTGAGCTTGCTGGTGAGGATGTCATGGAGCAGCAGGACAAGGTTGACCCTGCCAGCATGATCCCTCCTCCCTTCTAAAGCTCTCCTCTCGCATCACCCGAGATAATAACCCTTTCGCCTCCCATGTTTTAGTAGTTCTTCACTCTCCATGTCTGAAATGACATATGTTGTCTCTCGTCCTCGGTATATCCTCTTGAATTTGGGTTGCTGGTGCAGGTGGCCAATTGTTTGGCGCCATGGAGATTCCACCATTTTTTTTTGTATAGATTCACACTCCGGTTCTTTGATTTCCTTTTCCATTACCACCTGATGCTGCATCTCTGTTTGGCTCGTGGTCTGATATCTTGTGTCTCCACGCTATCTTTCCGGTTCATTTCCTTGCATGGCCATGTTTTGGGTCTATGGGATTGCCAGGTCTGGGATGCATGGCTGCGCCTGCAGATAGCTCTGGTTATGTTTTTCGCATCATAGACGGGCCAATGTAAAACAAGTTTTGATTAAGTTGAATCAGTTGTAACTGTTTAATTGTAATCTGTCTTTATATTTTTTTTCTTTTTAAAGGGTTTGCCGGTGAAAGGATGTACAAAAGTCAGGTCTTTGTCCAAGTGGATATTCAATGTATATGTCATGAGACTGCCACAAAAGCCAAGCCATTGAACATAGGTCTCACTTTTTAAAAAAAAAAAATTATGAATCCTTCTGGTTAACATATCAAATAAAGACAATGCCTATTTTCCAAAATTGACTCCAAATACAAAGATATCAAAACAAGCCCTCGCCCAGACACACACACATCAAAGCGGAGAGGAAAATCATCCCGGATAATGCCCGTACATACCCAAAGCGGTGACCGGGACGAACGACGGCATATCTTCCAAGACCCAACAAATCAAATGAATCAACCATACAACATTGCTCCACTATATGCTGTGGGCACTGGAGCAACTCATGCAATTGGTAGAATACTCCGGAGTGCAGCAGTGGCCTTATGCATCTCCTAGAATGGAACCGTTTCTGCTTCATTTCTCCACTCAATTGGACAAAGTTTCTCGGTAAAGTGGATTCATTTATATGTTGGGTCTGCCATGTTTCGCTCTCGAAAACGATACGGGTTATTGTGGGGTGGGGGTGTGTGTGTTCAGTAATAGGAAATGAAACACAGGGTGCATGTACAACATACATGAAATGTTGTATGTCAGTTTAGGCATAGAAAGTGCTATGGTACTTTCTCGCCCAATATGGCATGTGGGATCCTCAGCCACTTACTCCATACCCCAGTCTAAATACTTAAATCCGTTAGTTATGAAGTCTTTTGATGGGCCATAGTCACCCAGTTCCCTGCTTCGAGTGTGGCTGGGTCTGATTGCTGCCTCGCGATTGGAAGTTCCGCGGTTGATAGTCGGTGTTCGGACACTGATTATCAGACCCCAGTGACATCATATTCCCCGTTCAACCCTCTTTTTAGGGCTTGTCCCTTTGGTAAATCTCTTACTGGCTTCACTACATAAGAAACTGGCCAGTTATATTCGAGGCCTGGGATGCGCCTAGGGATGTACTGTATGTCCCGGATAAATGGCTGACCCGGGATGATATTATAGACGAATCAAAACTGAAAAGGAAAAGGAAATTACAGTTTAGAGGGGTCCGAGTGTCTCGGCCCAATTGACAGATCTCTAGGATAATATACCTACAGTACGGGAGTGTTGTTCTCTTGAACATAATGTCCTTTGGAAATGAATGTGGGTAGGGTGTCCACAAGGCGAATTCATTCTCTTGATAGGATTCATTGGTAGATTTGGGCAATTTCTGACCTCATAATCGGCGGTCGTTGTGTGTTTATTTCTGCTTGTCCCATGGAGATCTTGCCCAAGGTTCATAGGGTACCTAATTTCTGGCTGGGGATATACTAGTAGGTTGGCACAGTTTCAAACGATAGTACCGAGAATCATGCAATCGTATAATCCATTGACCCCCAATCAGTATGGATATTCGTTAAATGCTCCAGATTATGGGATGAATGTGAATAGATACAATGTGTGCTTTTTGTACAGATCGGTAGATTTGGATCGCCATGAACATGGCAGATCTAGCCAAGTAAGGGCAAAACTGGACCCAATTTCGAGATTGAACCAATAGCCTCCAAGATGATTCGCATATTTGCTTGGATTCCCGAATTCCTCGGGTACGATATATGGGGGCAATTCCAATTTCAACCTGGGCAGACGTGAATGAGGAGCTATTTTGTATACCCTATATATTTCTTCTCTATTTTGCTGAGAGATAACCCACGTGTCTGACAGAGAGACCAAAGAACGGAATGACGTTCCTTGCCTCCATGCTTTTTTACGATCCGTACATGCCGATGGTGCACTATTGGGACATTCCACCAGTTTCCTCCCGTGCATATGCATCGACATTTTAAACATCATGCCAGCGCCGGCCGGGAAGTGTTGCTTTTGCCAGGAACACACCCGGCTCCTCATCCCGGGTCCGTGAAACAAAAGTGCCACTGGTATGTGCATTGTACAATTTTATACATTGTTGAGGGTGTATACAGTATGAACGTCGAAGGCTCGGTTATATGTGGGTTTCAAGGTCTCTTATGAATCTTGAATTGAATCCACTCTGATCCCCAAAGGACAGGTTTGATCAATCAGTCAGAGTCAGCAAATAGATGTATTGTTTGCCGAGAGCCGATGGACACTTCGGAATCCCGAGCGTAGATCTGTAGTCACGGTTGTACCGGTGCATGGTTCTGGATATGACATGGATTCCTCTTTTTTTTTCCCCTTCTCTTTCAAGTTGACGGCGTCAGACCCCTGCTGAGGGGGCGTCATTTTTTTTTCTCTCCCTCGTGTCAAGAAGATTAACTGCGCAGAGTCGCATGACAGCTCGAACCAAACTGTGGCGATTCCGATCCACAAGCCATGGTCACCTGCTCTGAGTCTGGTGACGTCGATGAGGGGAAGCTCATAGTTTAGATCTATACTACACATATGTAGATATACAGAGCTGTACTATATTCTATATATTCTATATATCTCATAGATTAGAATTGTAATATACAAATTGATATACAACATACTACAACTGTTGTATGTTATTTCGCAGACGTTAAAAT